TCTGACCCCAGCTGTCTCAACTCCTGTTATTTTAGATCTCTCTGGGCCACCTCATCCCCACCTTCTGCCCCCTCTTCACTGTCAGTGTCCCTCTTGGCTGGCACTCTTATCCAGCCCAGTTTCCAGAGGATGCCTCTGCATAAACACACTCCCTTTTCCCTCTGCAGTTGGCAAAAGCCCCATTCTCATTATTTGCAGCTCGCTGGCATGGCTACACCGAGGTCAACATCCGAGGAACACGCCTGACAAACAGCTTCACCTTGTTCCCCACTGCTGATGGCAAATCTCCAATGGGCATTTGACGAGCCAGACAACCCACCGGTGGGAGTATTAATACCACATCTTCTCCCTCCTCAAACACCTTCTTTCCCAAGTGGCCCTCAGTCTCTGCTGGGGCTTGTGCCTCAGTGAGAAATTGAAGCCACTGGCCGCCAACACCCTCATTTCACCCTAGAAAATACCCCAGTCCTTCCTTCCAAGCCCCTGGTCCTGGCAGAGCCCAAGTCCTGGGTCTGTGCACTGGAGCAAGCAGACACCCACCTGAGGCCCCTCCTTGGCTGGCATCCTTATTCCCTCCTGTAGCATCATTTGTCCCTCCCAGTTGAAGCATTGTTTTTTTTAGCCACACCGAGCAGCTTCTGGGACCTTAGTTCCCAAACCAGGGGTTGAACCTGGTCCTCAGTAAAGAGAGAGCCCAGAGTTCTAACCACTGGACTGCCAGAGAATTCTCTGAAGCATTTGCATCAGCAAACACACGTGCTCTTAGCATCTCCTTTCTCAGAAAAGCCTTCCTTAACTCTCATTCCCACTCCCCTCCAAGGATGGCTACGCTCATTTCTCTGCTCCCATCATGGTGACCACTGTCTCCACTTTGGTTCACCCACTCCAGGCAGGCTTTTGCATCCATTCCCAGGGCGATCTGCTTAAAATGGATGTGCCTGCCAGAGCCAACAATCTTTCTGCCCAAGCCTCTTTGTCCTCCTCAAGTTCAGGAGCTCGTGCTATCTTGCTTCCCTCCCACCTCACCTGGGGCTCCTCCTTGTCCTCTTTAACTGATGCTTCCTCTTTCTCTGCGGGACCCCAAATGCTGATAGGCCCCCGGAGTTGTTTCTGGGCCTCTCTAGTCTCTCACTCTTTCTTCCATTCACACAGCTTTAAATAAATATCACCCTTGGGACAATGACTCTCAAATCAATGCCAACCTCTTCCTCTAGTCATATAACTAAGCCACTGTCCTGATGTTTCCATTTGGATGACCAGTGGGCACCTTGGTCTCACTAAGCCAAATAAAATTCCCCATTTTTGCCTTCTACACCTGCTCCTCTCCTAGTCTTCTCCATCTCAGTTGCCCAGGGAGTCAACTCAGAGATGAACTGAATCCATTTCTTTTCCTCATGCATTATAACCGAGCACTCAAATTATTTTAATTCCAAAATACATCCCTGGGATTTCCCTGGTGGTCCAGTGGTTAAGAATCCACCTTCCAATGCAGGGGATGCAGACGCAATCCCATCAGGGAACTAAGATCCCAGTGCCACGGGGCAACTAAGCCCACATATTGCAACAGAAGCCCCTGTGTACAACAGTGAAGACCCACTGGAGCCAAACAAACAAATGAAAATGAATCCCAAATTTTACCACTTCTCACCTCCCTCCCCACCAAGTTTTGGCTGCCACCATTTCTAGCCTGGTCACTGTCCCAGTTCTCTTTGCTTTCCTTCTTGACTTTATAACCCAATCTCTTCATGAAAGCTACAGGGAACTTTTCGAAAAACAATTTGGCTGTGACATTACTCTGCTTAAAACAAACAGCTTCCCATTAAACTTGGAATCAGGGACTTCCCTAGGGGTCCAGTGCCTAAGACTCCACCCTCCCAATGCAGGGGACCTGGGTTCAATCTATGGTTGGGAAACTAGATCCCACATGCTACAACTAAAGATTCTGTGTGCTGCAATTAAGACCTGGCCCTAAGATCCAGAGCAACCAAATACATAATAAAAATAAATATAGCATAAAAAAATATATAAACTTAGAAACAAAGCTTAGATGCTCCCAGCGGCCTGCTAGGTCCTATACCACCTGACTCTTATTGATGTCTCCCTCCCCTCCCCTTGCTCACTAATCTCATTACTCTGGCTTCCTTTCTGATCCACAAACGTTTCTCATCCAGTCCCCTGTGGGTATGCTGAAGAAGAGGGGAAAGTGGAAAGACAAGAGGCTGGAGAATGGGCAGGACATGGTAGCTAATGGTGGGTGTTCACAGGAAAGGCCTGAGGTGCCTTTGACAGAGTTGGGGTGGGGGGGCGTGGCATGGGCCTGAGCTCTGTTGCACTCACCATGGCAAAGAGGTTGTCATAGCCTTTGACCTTGGTAGGCACCTTGGAGAACTTCTGGTCAAATGCATCGGAGATGTTGTGGGCTGGGTCAGTGGAGATGATCAGAACACTCTCCCGCCCCTTGGACAGCTGGACTGCTAGGCTGCAGCTAGGCAAAGGAAAGGTCAAAAGGTGGACGGTGAAGAGTCAGGCTCTGCTCCCTAGGTCTGCAAGGGGAGATGAAGGGTCGTAGGAGCAGGGGACCTGGATCAGCAAGGGCCTTGAGAGGAGAGTATGGAGCACTGTGAGATCAGGCCTCAATCTCTGCAGTGGGACCCTCTCAGACCTCACCTACTGAACCTTCCACCTGGCTAGAGTGGTAAGATTTGGCTGAATGTGTCAGTCTGGTGTGATGCCTGCTTCTTCGCTGGCACAAAGTGGCATCATTATCTGGCTGTCCAGCCAGCATAGCCTGACCCTGTGTCCCTTCCCTCAATGCTAAGCTAAGGGGTCCTTTGCACTTCTTGGTTCGGTCCATTTGTCCGGGGTAATCTGCCCGGGGGATCCCTCCCCCTTCTCCCAGCTGACTGGGAGCCTGATCTGTGCCCTCCCTCCCGCCTTCCACCCCCACTTGGGCAGAGAATGACAAGGTTCACCAGATTAGGAGAATTCGCTCAGGTGCCCCTCCCCTACTCTGGGCACACTCTGGTACAGTCTACCTGATGGGGACATCTAAGTGCTCTCCCGGACCCCGTGCGCTGGATTCAACGTGGTTCAGCCTTTGAGCCCGAACAGGGATGACCCAACTCAGAGGGTGCCCGGCCAGCTTTCAGGAGCTATCTTCCATTTGCTCCAGATAACTTCTGGAGAGTATAATCTAGAAGACCCCGCCCCAGCCCTCTTGCCCGGCTGGTGCTGGAAGACCCAGTCTTTCGCCTCCCCTTCACCCTGTGGTACATCCCACCCGTTTTCCCGGCCCCCACCGCAGCCTCTTTACCTGCAGGTTGTCTTGCCAACGCCACCTTTGCCCCCAACGAAGATCCACTTAAGACTGCGCTGCTCGATGATGTTGCTAAGTGTGGGCTCCAGCGGCTCCACATCAGGGGCATCCTCGAACTCCTCTGCCTCAACCCCCCACCCGGCCACCCCTGCCGCCATCTTGGAACCGGCTCACGTGATCAGGCGGAGCGCACCATGCAAAGAACCTGCAGGGGAAATTTCCTATCATATCCCATCAAGGCTAGAAGCGTGAATTGATTTTCTCATAGCTTAACTTCTAGGAGCTAATAGAAGCTATATGTCCAATGTCTTCCCTTCCAAGCTTCATCATGTCAGCCTCTTGTCTACATTTTCTTCAAAGACTCCCCCTGTCTAATTAATACATTGGTACATCCCAGGATACTCCCCTTTACTGATTGGCCTCTAAGTCTAGCAGCTCTCCTTTCATTGGCTACATCTTTTCTTACTTTCACCAATCACTCTCACGTCCCGGTAGCGCCAACCTCTCCTTAGCAACCGACCAAACACCCATTCCATGTCCTTTTCAAGAAGTTAGTTCCGAGGTCCACCCTGACCTGACTCCATAGGCTCAACTTCTTGTCGATCATTTCCTGCCCCTATTCTCCGAACTGGGTCCCAACACCCCTCAGCTCCGTCTCTTCTGTTATTCAATTGGCTGGGAGCCATCGGGTTCCTGACGCAAACCAATCACAGACGAACCGATTAGTTGGCTGAAGACAGTCTCGGAGCTGCGAGTGGGTTAGAGAGAGAATTACTCCAGTTGTGGGCGAGGTCCGCAGATCCTTGTCCAGTGAGTCCTGATCTATGCGGGCTTGCATCCTTGTTGTAGAAGGCACCTGATTCCCCAAAACCTGCTTCCACTTTACCCCAGGTTCGAGGGGAAACTTCAGTTCAGCCAATTCTGTTTGAAACTCTGCCCTGGGCAGGAATACATGCTTGGTCCCAGGCCCTTTTGCGTACACTATACCTTAGATGGAGACTCCAGCCTAGAAATATCCGCGGCTTCATTTCAGTACTCTAGCACATAAAAAAAATACCCTGATTTGCAGATATGAACCTCTCAGCTCCTTGGAGTGAGCTGTGTCTCTATTTCCAAACGAAAGCTCCATCCCAGAGAGAGGTACCTAATCCAGAGACACCCTTATTTCTGTTCTCGGGGACCAGGCTAGATATGCCCTCTAGCTAGTTTTAGTTAGGGACCCAGGTTCCGAGGTATCAGCTGAGCACTCAGCCAGGCAACGTCTCTCCCCTCACTGAGATTATCCCTGGTGTCAGAAGATTCTAGCCCCGAAAAGCTAGTACACCACCGAATCCCAAGCGGGAACCTCACTCCCGAGAGCCAGCTACACACCCAGAACCAAACAACAGTCTCATTTCGGAAGAGACCATCTCTGCGTAACGCCAGCAGGAGCCCAGCAGGGTTATAATGTTCTGCGGGACCCGGCGGGGCGGGCCGGAGCGGGCCGGGACAGCTGCTTGAGGGCGCGCCGCGTCAGGCCTTATTCCTCATTCGCCCCGCCTCTCATGCCCCGCCCCCACTGCGGACCCTAAAAAACCAGACGGGTCTTCCCGGCATGCATTGCCCCGGACCAGGCTTGTCGGGCGGCAAGCGCGGGGCCGGGAGCGGCCTTCCCGGAGTCCTTTGCGCGGCACCTGGTGACAAAATGGCTGCCCGAGGGAGACGGGCGGAGCCTCCGGGTCGGGAGGCGCCGGGCCCCGCGGGTGGCGGCGGCGGCGGCGGCGGAAGCCGATGGGCTGAGTTGGGGCCCGGGACGTCGCCCGAGAGCGGGGATGATGAAGTGTCGGGCGCGGGCTCGAGCCCGGTGTCGGGAGGCGTGAACTTGTTCGCCAACGATGGCAGCTTCCTGGAGCTGTTCAAGCGGAAGATGGAGGAGGAGCAGCGGCAGCGGCAGGAGGAGCCGCCCCCGGGCCCGCAGCGACCCGATCAGCCAGCCACCGCTGCCGCCGCGGGTCCCGGGGATCCGAAGAGGAAGGGCGGTCCGGGCCCCACGCTCAGCTTCGTAAGGAGCCGCGGGGGTGGGGGCGGGTGCCAGGGTCTTCCTTGGCCTGGGGAATTGGGACCGAGAAAGGGGATCGGGATCCAGGTCCACCCTCCGACCCCGATCAGGGGGCCGTCCGGGTCACCCGCTGAGGATTCAGAACCTGGATTCCCGACAAGAGAGGTCTGGGGGCGGAGATTGGGACCCCAGGAGTCTGCCTGCAGGAACTGGGATCTGGGGGAAATTCCGTTGGAAACAGCGTTCCCAGGATCGGAAAACCAGGGTACTAGAATTCCTGTTTGAGTGGTACCCACCCGATCTTTGGATTTGGGGACCATCTCCCACTATGGGAATGGGTCATATTCAAGTCTGGAGTCTGAGCTGTGTGAGTGAAAGACTCAGACTGCTTACTGTGTGACCCTAGGAGATTTGTTGAGTTCCATGATTCTCATTCGTCCGGTGTCCATTTATTGAGCACCTTACCTTGTGCTGGGCACTGTGCTAGGTGATGGATATGCTGTGCTGAACATGACAGGCATCACTGCTTTCCTGAAGCATCTGAGATGGCCTAACCTCATTTTCCCTGCTTGCAAAAATGGGCATCTTCTTATGTGATTACCACTGGGAAAGCCTTATAGGAAAGGCTAAACCAGTGGTTCTCAACTGGGGACGATTTCGCCCTACCCCATCTCCACACTTGATGAAGTCTGGGGACATCTGTGGTCGTCAGAATGGGAGGAGGCAGTGCTACTGATATTCATGAGCAGAGGGCAGGGCTGCTGCTCAACATCCTAAAATGCACAGAACAACCCTCTCCTCCCCCTCCTCAACAAACATGATCCAATTCAAAATGTCATTAGTGCCTAAGATTGAGAAACTCTAGGCTAAAAAAAGGGCACCTATGTTGATTGTCAACCCTGAGCTGGCTTTCTCTGGTGTTGAGAGCAAGTTCCTGTGGTGGGGGAAAAAAAGTGCTGACTTAAGAGTAATGGACTTGGGTGGGGGTGCGTCAAGTTTCTTCATCTGTCAAAAATGAGTGTGAGAATAGTCTCAGCAGCTCAGGTCACTTAACACCTGGTTGAGGGCTAGGGACGGGATGTCGGGTAAAGCCTGTCACAGCCCTTGGTGCACAAGAAGTCTTCAGTTTGTGGGAGAAAATAGAGGATCGGGAGGAACAGGCTAAGTCTTATATTTGAAGAATGGGAAGTGACAGGGCCTGGGCTGCTGTGAGAAGTGGGTGGCAGCCGAGTGCCCCCTGTGAACGAGAGTAGCAGTAATTGTCACTGCCTTTTCCATTTGGTCATCAAGGGGCCATTTGCGGGAGCGCCCTCAAAGAGGCCAGGCCAGGTTAGGTGTCAGGGAAGAGTGTCAGGCGGTGGCTAAGAATGCTGCTCCGTGGCCTCAACACACCTGACCCTGAATTCAGCTCCACTGTCTGCTGTCAGCATGATCCAGGGGACAGGCTTCTCCTTTTCAAAGGTGTTTCCTCATCTGTCCACTGGGGATCGTTGTCACCTTCACCTTAAGGTGACTGTGAAAGTGGAAGGAGATTGTATGTCCAAAGCCACTTGGCACAGGGCTTAGTATACAGTAAGTGCTCAATAAAGGGAGCTGTTGCTGCCTGTGTGGTCCATACTAGGGGATAGTGAGGACAGAGCTCATCCCCCTCAGGTGGGGATTCTTCTCTCTCCCTGGGAGGACAGCTCGGGGGCCCAGGACTGCCTGGGCATCATGGGCCCAGGGCAGGCGCTGAGTCGCGTGTGCTCCTCTCTGATTGCTGCGCAGGTCGGCCGGCTGGCGGAGCTGGGCGCGGCGTCGGGACGGGCCACCGGGCCGGGCTAGGAAGGTGTAGTGGGCCTCAGCGCCGCCAAGGGCGGGCCCCGGCTCCTGTAACCGTTGCAGTCTTCTGTCCCTTCACCCAGGTGGGCAAGCGCAGAGGCGGGAACAAACTAGCCCTCAAGACGGGAATAGTAGCCAAGAAGCAGAAGACGGAGGATGAGGTGAGCAGACTGGTTGTGGCAGGAACCACCTCCGTTGCCTTTTCCTTCCACCCTCAGCTCCTGGCCGAGGTGCCCCGTCCCTCCCTCCTCAGTATCTATCTGGCCCTTGGATGGATGTACTGGGTGGGGGAGGAGGGGGGCTTTCAACCCAGCTCCTAGATAACTTGACTCTGCTTATCTTTATCTCAGACCCAGTACGCTGTTGGGGGGGGGGTCAGCTGTCTCAGGACAGTCCTGACCCTGGTTCCTGGCATCCCCTTCCCGACCCCCTGTGTATCCCCCCCCACAGGTATTAACAAGTAAAGGTGATGCATGGGCCAAGTACATGGCAGAGGTGAAAAAGTACAAAGCCCACCAGTGCGGTGATGATGATAAAACGCGGCCCCTGGTGAAATGACCCCCCTCCCTGCCTGCCCACGGCCTGGGACTCTCTGCGATGTACATAACTATTTAATGCAGTGGCAGCGCGGCAGCCTTTCCCCCCAAGGACTTATACACAGAAGGAAACAGAGATGCTTCCCGCAGCTGCGGATGATTCTCCAGGACTCTTTTTTACCTTGAGCACTTGCCTCCTGAGACTTCATAGAACAGTGTTTTACTGTCCCCTCTCCTCCCTCGCCCTGGCTCTTTCTGTCTTCCTTTTCTCACCCCTCTCCCACCCTCTAGCCATCACTTCTGGGAAGTAAAGAACATGACTTAGTGCTGGACTGGTGTGCTTGCTTGCCTTCTTTGCTCTCTCCAACTTCCCTCTCGACTGGTTGCACACCCACCAAAGGCTGGGTCTGCCCCAGTGATGTGGGGGTGTTGGGGATAACGGGGGTGCAACCCCTCCTGGGGTTGAACGCTCCTCAGGAGTCGACCCTGAGACGCACACCCCACCCCCTGCTGCTGCTCTTGTTCAGTGTCTCTGCACAGGCCCGTTTGGGCTGGGCCAGAGCCGTCAGTTCAATCAGAAGACAAGGAGCACTGACCGGGTGCCGGGGTTTTTCTGGGCCCTGTGGCCACTGCAGTGAACAAAACAGACCACAAATGCTTCCTGCCTTTGTGGAAGGAAACAGACACAGATAAAAAGGGGAACCCATTCAGGGAGATGACTGCAAAGAAGTACAGGAGAGAGACTGCAGGGAGGGGTGTGTTTTAGTTGACATCTGATCAGAATCCTGAGGGAGGTGGGACAGCCTGTCTGTGGGGTAGTGAACAGCCAGTATACAGACAGGGAGGGTGCTTGGCCTTTACGGGGAACTTTAAGGAGGCCACTGTGAGTGGAACTGGCTGAGTGAGAAGCCTAGGTGTGCTATATGCAGAGTCTCGTGTGCTTGGGTGAGAATTTGGGACTTTAATCGTAAGAAGAAACTTTTGGGGGACTGTGGTAAGGATCGGCATGGTATGTTTTATATCTTAACAGGATCCCTCTGGCTGAAAGGGTCTGGGCAGAACCTGGGAGATGGAGGAGACCAGGCTGTGATCAGGCAAGAGGGGCTAATGGGGTGTTGACAGTGGAGGAAGTAAAGAGGACCAGGATCTGGGTTCCACTGGGGTTGGTCTGTCCTGCCAGTGACTTGCAGCGCTTCCAGGGAAGCTGTGGTTTTTTGTATGATCAGGAGAAAGAATGCAAAAGGGCTTGTTTGTCCCACCTTGCAGAACAAGACAACTGCTATACTAGGGGACAAGATGTCCTGAAGGAAGCCTGATGCCCTTAGACCCCCACTAGTGTTCCTTGTAATTCTGTGGCTTCCTGGCCCCATTGCTCATCCTGTTTGGAGCTGAAGGCTACCTGGCTGCCTGCTCTCCATGGAGCCAACCAAAGTGTTAAGATGACTGTGCCTCCTAACTCCTCAAACCTATTATGGAGCCACACTGAAGCATCCCAGTTGTGGGGCTATCTCCCAGGCATGAATGCTGAGCCTCCTGGCACGCATGCCCATCCTATGGCCAGGCTCCAGTCCCTCTTCTATTAGGGGAGCATCATGATTCCAAAGACGATGGTGGTCACCACATTCCTGGGACCTGTAGAGGCAGAAGGATGAGGGCTGAGTTAGCACCTGTCCACGGGGTCTCCCAGGTGGCCCAGTGGTGAAGAACCTGCCTGCCAATGTGGCAGACACAGGAGACGTGGGTTCCATCCCTAGGTTGGGAAGGTTCCCTGGAGGAGAACATGGCAACCTGATCCAGTATTCTTGCCTGGGAAATCCCATGGATAGAAGAGCCTGGTGGGCTACAGTCCATGGGGTCGCAAAGAGTCAGACACAACTGAGCACACACACACACAGCTTCACACTGCGAGATTCAGCCTGTGAGGGGTGGGGAATTGCAAGTATCAACACAGTCCAAATTCCCTGTCCTAGTGGAGCTAACATTGTGGTTGTGGTGGGAGGGAGGCGGGGGGGACGACACAAGAAACAAAATACACAACACCATTACACATTCTATGGGGGGGGGGGGAGTATGAAAGGGGATTTGTGATGAGAGGGGAAAGATGGCAACTGTAAACTGGTCAAGAATGGTCACACCATCTGTTGCAAGTCCTGAAGGAGGTGGGACAGGCAGTGAGGATGGTCCTTGGAAGAGTGTTGCAGGCTTAAGGAACAGCAGGTGCAAAGACTCTAAGCTGAATCACGCCCAGCTTGAAGAGTGAACAAATAGACTTTGGAACAGGAGACATGCCTCCTTACTTCCTGCTAACACACAGTAAGGCTTGTCTGGTTTATTTCCCCCATGAGGCGAAAGGTCTCCCTCCTTTCATGATGCTGAGCTGGCCCAGGTGTGATGTCAGCCTTGGAGATGTAGTATGGGGGAGGGGACACAGGAAGCCAATGGCGCCTTCTCTACCTCCTCCCTTCAAGCCACTGACAGCCGCTGGATCTTTAAAAAGAAACAAGTGGGAGAAGTAGGTCGCCCCTGTAGCAGCTCAGCCTCTATTCTGGAGTGTCAGCACTTCCTTTCACTGAGCTCACCTGCCCTGACCTGGGAAAAGTGAAGAGGGAGGAGAATCAAATTCAGGTTTTGGTGAGTCACACAGTCCCGGTTTCAAACTTTTCTGGTGTCCGTTAGCTGTGTGATCTTCGGTGAGTTATTTAGCCTTTCTGTGGTTTAGGTTATTCATCTATAAAATAGGGATAAAATACTGAAACATTTAGAGTGAAGTTCTAAAGTAAAAACAATGCTCATATAGTCAACATTAACTCTGACATTCAAAGGGGGCTGTTATTGTTTCTCAAGGTGAAGCAGTTGCTTTGTGTCTGGGGACCGTGTTTGAGAAATACCTTGAAATGTGGGTGCAGAGTGATGAGATGCTCAAGCAGGGAGGCTGTTGTAAACTGAGATGTGTTTGTCGCTTATCTCAGATTCCTGTTTGGGCTTCAGTTTTTTGAGTTTCTTTTTTGCACTGAGCTCTTTTAGTTGAAGTAAGTTTGCTGTGTACAGGGCTGTCGTGAGAATACCATTTATACACTTACAGGCAGTAGGTGCATAAGAAGTCAGGGGGCTTTTTGTTTTTCTTTTCTTTCTTTCCGATTTTCGATTCAGTACTGAAATTCACCATCTTGGGAAGAGAAAAAGACCCGTGATCATACGAGGGCCAGTACTGTGGATCATACTGGCAGCAGCGGTCACATTCTTCTTCCCGGACTCCTCCCCACAAAGCTTGCGTAGAGCCGCTGGAAACGACAAATCAGAAGTAGGGGGAGGAGAATTTTCTTGGAGGTCCAGTGGTTAACACTCCGCACTTCCACTGCAGGGGGCACAGGATGGATCCCTGGTCAGAGAACTAAGACTCCCCAGATGCCACACTCCGCGCCCCCCGCCCAAAAAAAAGGAGGAAAGAAAGTAAGAAAGGGGGGTGAGCATTAACAAATTCTCTCCTGCATCTCCAACTCGCTCCCTACCCGACCCTTATCTGAGGCAACCCCTAACCCTGAGCAGAAAACTGATTTGCAACCTCTCCCTCAACCTCCAGATCTAGTCACAGCTCCTCAACCTCGTTCGTCCTGCTCAACACAACTCCGGGAAGTCTCTAGACCTCTCAGGCTTGAGTCGCAGCCAGAGTTCGTAAGCTCGGCGACGCCTGCGCAAGGCAGGATGGGATTCGTAGTTCTAGGCCCTCAGGTCGCACGAGGGCAGACCATTGCGCATGCGTAGGCGGCTTTCGGCGCGTGTCTCTCAAACCCGGTTCCTGTTCAGCGGAGCCGGCTGAGGCGGGAGTCGTCTTCTTCTTTAGGATCCTGACTCTTGGAATGGAGTGTGGCTTCAACTGACTCGTCCCAAATCCTGGCGGCCTCAGTTTTCGTCAAGAGAGGCCTTAGGTATTTATTTTTCATGAATGAACGGAGCCAGGACTGACTGTCAAGGGCAACTGGACTGAGAAATCTGTCTCCTTCCAGGCTCGGGCTAGAGTTAACCTGTGCCTCCCTGCAGGCCAAAACGGCCTTCCGGGCAGGACTGGGATGTCCTTTGGGATTAGAGCCCTAGTTGATTCAGTAAATATTGGTTTAGGGAGGGTCCAAATGCAGTAAAAGGACCACCTTAAACCTCGGGGAGTAAACACCACGTTTTTGAGGAACAATTTACTGCAGGTTTTGTAATGCTTAACTTGGATTATCTCTAACCCAGCAAACTATTGTATCTGTTTGACAAATGGAGAAACTAAAGCTGGAATGGCAGAAGGTCGCCCACCTTTTTTGTCAGCAGGGTGGAGACGTGAATGGGGGTGGGGTGGGAGAGGCGAGAACCGGGACTCTCCTGCTCCTGGAAAAGAGGTGCCCTACTTTGTCCTCAGACGGTGCAAGAATCACGGAATGTCTTTTTTTTTTTCATCTTCCTGTCCTTACATTTCCTGAATTTTTTCACCTCATTCTGATTAAGGTAGAGAAAGGAGTTAGGTCTTTTGCTCTAGTGTTTGTTTTATTATTTCACTTCGTTGAAAATTTTAAGTCCTCGTAGGGTGCCTATATCTTTGTCAAACGGCACTGTAAATAGATAACGCAAAATATGGCAGAGGCTTCTTTAGGAACCCAGCCAGTCTCGGGCACTCCCTTTGTCTGGCTTTCCCTCCTTTGTCTATGGGGCATAAAGTCCACCTCAGGCTCTGTCCCTTCAATTCTTTGCTCGCACAGTACTCCTGCTAAGTACTCTCAGAATGGGGGAGGAAAGCACAGTTCAGTTCTTGGGGGGGCGGGGGGGGCGGGTGGTTCTGGCTGAGGGGGGTTATACCTGAAAGTCTCGCGCGCCACCAAACTCCTGGTTCCAGCAAAGAGCTCCTGTCAAGCCAGCGAGGGAGGCTGAGAAAACGAGACGGTGGGCGGACCAGCTGGCCAGAGAGGCCTAGAGGGCCGCCAGCTCTTTGGTCACGTGACCCGACCTCGGCGGGGCCTAGGTTTTACTGGTGCCAGGCCACGTGCGACCGCTGCTTCTCGCGATTGGGTCATTTAGGACTATTTGAACGGCGTACGGAAGCCGCCGCGGTTCATATACAGCCGCGTTTTCTTTTTCTTTCTTTCTTTCTTTTTTTTTTTTTTTTTTTTTACTCCCTCTCTTTGGCTCCCTCCTTCCGCGCGAGTCTCAGGAGAAGCCGCAGCTTAAGGCCTCGCTGCTGCCGCCCGAGGCCGGGTAAGTGAGCCTCACCCGGACCCCAACCGGCTTGGCTCTGGCTTGCGTCGACCCCCGCCGGGCTCCGGGCCTGCGCTGCGCGCGGCCCGGGCGTCGGGGCCGCGCCTGACCGAGAAAGGCCGAGAACCTAGTTGGGCCCAATTGGAGAGGCAGCGAGAATGGGCCGGGGCGGGGGATGGGGGAACCGAGCCTGGCTTAGGGGGTGGGGCCTCGGAGCCGGGCCAGGTCCCGGTGCCGCGAAAATTGGGCCAGTGGGGCGGCTGGGGTCGGGCTGGAGGGGCTCTGAATGGGGGAAGTGTATGGGGACTGCTTAGGGCCTGATTGGGGGACGTCGCGAGGATCGGGTGTGTGTGTGGGTCTGTTTCGGCGGGGCTCGGTTGGGTCTGACTGGGGAGGCCCCGTTGAAAAGTTGGGGGCGGCGGTTTTGGGCCCTGATAGGGAGGGGCGTGAGACTTCGGCCTAAAGGGCTGTGCTGGCTGACTTTGAGGCGTAGCTGGGTGCAGTTGGGGGAAGTGCCCCGGGGGGTATTTGGCCAGGCCTAACTGGGGGGAGCTGCAGGGCTCGGACGAAGACATTTTCCGGCTTGAGGTGGTGGGGGGCTTGGTCCAACTTGATTGGGGGAAGCAGTAGTGATCCATCAGTGGGAGTTAGTGCTGACTGGGGCGTGGGGTTGTTGGAACGGTGTGGGGGGAGGCTTGGCCAGACCTGATTGGGGAAGCGACAGAGACTGTCCAGGGGGCTTCTGTTGCCGAATAGGCGGGCCCTGGCAGACTCTCATTTGTAGAGGCATCGGGGACCTGTCTGCCGATTGTTCTCGGTCTGATTAGGGGAATCGCTGGACTGCGTGCCGGCACGGGAAAGACCACAGGGGCTGGGGCGCTGTCGTATTCTGGGGCAGGGCCCCTGAATGGGGAGGTGGCTGGGTCCTCGCCTAGCAGCCTCGAGGGAAGTGGAAGCCTTAGGGCCCGCAGCCGAGCGCGGTGGCATGGGCCTAGGTGGGACGATGGCCCGGCGTTGGGTGGGATGAGGATTCTCTGGGTCCCGCCGCCGCCTCGAATGGCCCGCTTCCACATACCCCCGCCCGCGCTCCCGAGCCCGCGACTGCGTGGCCGTGGATGGCGCATTTGGCGGAGACCCCGCACTTGGGCGGGCGTGGATCGGCGGCCTCCGCCTGTCCGCCGAGGACGCTCCAGTCCTGCTACCGCGGCCGCCGCCATCACGTCAGTGGGGGCTCAGCCTGGGACTGCCACAGAGCCGCCTCCGGGATCCGGTGCTGATCCTGGCCCCTACTCCTGCAGTTCGCCTTGCGCCATGGACTGGCAGCCAGACGAGCAAGGCCTCCAGCAGGTCCTTCAGTTGCTCAAAGACTCGCAGTCACCTAACACAGCCACGCAGCGCATCGTGCAGGATGTATCCTTCCTTCCTTCCGGGTCTGGGGGGACCCGGCCGACAAGTGCATCTCCCGGAGAGGAAGGGGTCGAATCCCTAGTTCCCAGGCTCTTTCTGCTTCGGCAGGAGCGGACTTCGGCAAAGAAATAAGGATTAGAATTCTTGGGTCCCTTTCCCAGCAGAGAAGGAGACACTTTTTGCTGGTTCTTGGCTTTAGTTTAGGTTCGTGAGTAAAATTTCCTTTTTTCAGTTGGTCGTTTAAAATACTCTTAAACTTTTAATCTGTTTATATATACCATAAGGAAGTTTCACTTCAAAGTGTGAGATCCCTTTAAGAAAAAAGCATGCAGTGTTGAATTGCTAGTGAGCAGAGCTGAGTAGCCTCTGCTCGTCTTCAGATACAGCGGAGTTTGTTCACCCTCTCCTGCTCTGGCCAGATCTTCAGGAGTGGTGGGAAGCTGAGACATGTTCCCCTACCTGCTGTATGAATCTCATGTGTCTGAAGTGCTTCCTTACTCTGGGCATGAGGGTTGACACGTGGGGTCCCAGGAGTTGGCTGCCCAATCCCAGTAGTCAGAGGTTATATGGCAATAATGGGGGAGTCCCACCCAGGGAAGGCCCCTGTCTGCCAAGACCCTTAACAACGTAGCAGAAACTCAAACAACTGAACCAGTTTCCTGACTTCAACAACTACCTGATATTTGTCCTGACGAGACTCAAGTCGGAAGGTATGCCCTTGGCGCCCCTCCACCCAAGGCAGACCCCACTTTCTCCCCTGTGGTCTCCTGAGCCCCGGGCCTCTTCCCACAGATGAGCCGACTCGCTCTCTCAGTGGCCTCATCCTCAAGAACAATGTGAAGGCACATTACCAGAGCTTTCCACCACCTGTGGCCGACTTCATCAAACAGGAATGTCTCAACAACATTGGTGACGCCTCCTCGCTCATCCGGGCCACCATAGGTGAGAGACTGCAGCGGGAGTTGGCCTGTGATGATGCTCTGTGCTGGCCCTCTTGGCCACGAACCTTCTCAGTGTGTTAACGATGTTGATTCACTGAATGTTCCAGCACTGTGGGTGGTGGTGCTGTTACTGCTCCCATTTTACAGATGAGAAAACTGAGGCACATAGATGTGAAAAGTCTGGTCTGGCCAGTAACAGAGCTCAGAAGTGACCAAATCAGGTTCATGCTCTGAACCATTCCCTCTTGAAAGAGCTGTTCTTACTTCTTAGGCAGTCACTCAGTGTCCAGAATTTTCTGTTATCTCTGAGGATATAGCAAACTAAAATATGAGGGCTCCCTGCTAATTCTCACCAGTGATAATTTAGGAGAAATATGGGTTAGGTTTGTGTTGGAACCTTCCTGTCTCTAAAAGGCTGCCTGAGGAAGATACAGGAGGAAGACTAAGAACTTTCAAGCAATTTTACCTCAAGCCTTTTCACTACTGATAAACACCAGCCCTACTATTTATTCCCAACTTTTCCCCCCTTCAGTTATACTGAGATATAATTTTTATTTCATTAGTAATTCATCAATTTTAATTAATTAATTAATAAGTTCCCCTACCAGTGATTGAACCTATGCCCTTAGCAATGAAAACGTGATTCTAACCACCACTGGATAGCCAGGGAATTCCACTGGATATAATTCACATATAACTGACTTAAAATTTTAAAATTTAAGTCTATCAACTTTAAATATTACTTTAAAGTGGAAATGGTATATAACTGTTTAAAGCAAGACAGTGGTTAGGATTCTTACTGCATGGGTCTGGAGTTCAATCCCTGGTCAGGAGCCTTAAGATCCTGCAAACTGTGCAGCATGGCAAAAAAAAAGGTGGGAAGGGGAGACAGATTTGCTTGCTCTGTACAACAGGGTAGACTTCCCTGGTGGCTCAGGTAACTTTGGGAGACACAGGTTTGATTCCTGGGTCGGAAAGATCCCCTGGAGAAGGGCATGGCAACCCACTCCAGTATTCTTGCCTGGAGAATTACATGAACAGAGGAGCCTCATGGACTACTCAGACTCAGAGACGACTGAGCCTTGGACATTTGCACTTTCAAAGGGAAGGTAGCCTTAATCATAAATGCAATGAGAACAAAAAGATAGTATTAAAAATTTGAGCTAGCTCCTGGACCTGCTGGAAGTGTTGATCTTGGGGCCTGTTGTCTTTGTTCAAAGTGATGCTTAGCCTTCTCTGAGGCCACCAGGAGGAACTGGACTTATCAAACTCGTTCTCGGCGCCAGTTTCTGCTCTAAGTACTTGAGTTAAATCATTGAAGCCTCCCAATCACCCTAAGCTTGTGGGATCTTAGTTCCCCAACCGGGAATTGAATGCCGGGCAGTGAAGTTGTGGAATTCTAACTACTGGACTGCCAGGGCAGTCCTAGGATGATGTGTTCTTTATTGCCATTGAGGCATGGAGCCCTTAGGTGATGGGGCCAAGGTCACACAGACAGGGATGGGCCTGGGCACTCTGTTGCCAGTCTGCCCACTGCAGGGAGTGTCTTTCCCAGCAGACATGGGAACCGGGGTCATCTGGAGTGTTGGCGATGGCAGCTCTAAATATGCTGTCTCTGCACTGATATCTCCCATATTCAACTCAGCTGCCAGACTGCTCCAGAGTCCTGGCACTTCACATGCCTACTGCAGGTTGCACTTGGGTCTCTAATAAGCAGGACGCGGTCCTCCCTGAGGCCACCATGGCCCTGCATGACGTGCCTCTCCCCCCTCCCAGCCCTCATCTCTTGCCACTCTCCCCATCGTCCTCTGCTCAGCGCCTCTGGCTCCTTACCATCCATCTTGGAGCACACCAATTCTGTGCATGACCCTGGACTTCTTACACCTGCTGATCCGCCTGCCTGAGATGTTCTCTCCCCAGGGACTCAGATGACTTCTCCCCTACCTCCTCAGGTCTTTGCTCAGGTAGCAAGGTGTCACCCAGCAAGGCCTTCTTGAGCCACCGAATTAAAAACTGTTACCTTCAGTCCTTGCTAAGTCTTTTCTCAGTTCTATTTCCTCCCTCAGCTCTTGGCATCTTGCCTCCCAGGACTTTTACTGATTTATCTTTATCTCAGGCAGCCTTCCTCACTGGACAGATCCGCTCCTAAAGGCAGGGATTTTGTGTTTAGTTCTGTGCTGTATCTCAGGGCCTGAGACAGGCGTGGCACACAGAAAGACAAAGAGGATCTCAAAAATGTGTAGGGGACCTGGTGGTCCAGTGGTTAAGACTCTGTGCTTCCAATGCAGGGGGCACGGGTTTGATTCCTGGTCTGGGAACTAGGATCCTATGTGCTACGTGACCAAAAACAAGAAGAAACAATAAAGTGTGTGCAGGGCTTAGAGCGTGTGTGCTGGCGGAATGATCGCACAGCAGGGAGGGCTGGGGCGCCAGGCAGGCCTGCACCTAGCCTGAGGCAGCCTCCTTTCCCGGCTGCCCCAGGCATTCTCATCACCACCATCGCTTCCAAGGGTGAGCTGCAGATGTGGCCCGAGCTGCTGCCCCAGCTGTGCAACCTTCTCAACTCGGAGGATTACAATACCTGTGAGGTAGGCGACCAGCGTGGCCGGCCTGCCTGACTGGGAGCTGGGGTCCGACTGGGACTCCCGCCCATGTCTACTGCTCTCCACTCAGGGAGCCTTCGGAGCCCTACAGAAGATCTGTGAGGACTCGTCCGAACTGCTGGACAGCGATGCCCTCAACAGGCCCCTCAACATCATGATCCCCAAGTTCCTCCAGTTCTTCAAGCACTGTAGCCCCAAGATCCGGTGTGTGGGAGTCTGCAGGGGGTAGGGAGGGGGCAGGATGGGTAGGATTGGGGGTGACCCGTGTGACCCACTCCCTGCCAGGTCCCACGCCATCGCCTGTGTGAATCAGTTCATCATGGACCGGGCCCAGGCACTGATGGACAACATTGACACCTTCATTGAGGTAGGCCATGGGCTGGGGAGTGCAGGGGGAGAGCTGAGGGCCCAGCGCAGCTGATCCCAGCTTCCCTGCAGCATTTGTTTGCCCTGGCTGTGGACGATGACCCTGAGGTGCGGAAGAATGTGTGCCGTGCACTAGTGATGCTGCTGGAAGTGCGGATTGACAGGCTCATCCCGCACATGCACAGCATCATCCAGGTAAACCTGGCCAGGGCCAGCCCGTGGGGGTGCTGTGGGGTGGGAGGCTTGTGGGGTGCCACCCCTCACTGGGCCGGGCCTTAGTCTTTCTCCTACACCACCCCAGTACATGCTGCAGAGGACCCAAGACCATGATGAGAACGTGGCCCTCGAGGCCTGTGAGTTCTGGCTGACGCTGGCCGAGCAGCCCATCTGCAAGGAAGTCCTGGCCTCCCACTTGGTCCAGTGAGTGCTGCTCCTGCCTTCTCTCCACCCCAGACTCCACCCCTCTGCCTTCCCTTCTGTGCTAGCCTGTCCCAATCAACTGTCTTGGTTTTCTTTTATTCCTGTGTGTGTTTATTTCACAAATGGTAGGTATGTAGCTTTAATGGATTAAAAATTAGGTTGTTATAGGTAGAAAAGATGAAGTCAACAGAGAGGGACTTCCCTGGTGGTCCAGTGGTTAAAATTCCTTGCTCCCAATGCAGGAGGCCCACGTTTAGATCCCTAGTCAGGGAACTAGATCCCACATGCCTCAACTAAAAACCCCTCATGTCACAATGAAGATCCTGTGTGCCCCAACTAAGACCTGGCACAGCCAAAGGAAAAAAAAAGGCAACAGAGGCTTCAGGCATAGCTGGATCCAGGTGCTCAAAGGATGTGAGTGGCAGCCTGTCTAGGCTCAGATCTAGTTCCTCTGTGTCTACTTTGTTCTCAGGCACAGCCTGCCCTCATAGTAGTACTTTCTGCAGCCTTCTAGCTTGGGAACCTCAGAGTAAAGACATTCTCTCTTTACATTACTCTTTACAGTGTCTCTGTAAAAGTTCTAAGGCTGATCCTCTTTGATCAACTTGAATCACTTGTCTGTCCCCGACTCAGTGAAGTCTCTAGTCAAAATCTCTGATCCTGAGGTGCATGGGTTCCAGCGGAGTTGGGGAGGCTGCCCTGCCTATTAGCTCCCCAACCTGGCCCCATGCTAGGAAGTGCCTGGTGATAGGGCAGGGCCGTGTGTCACTGCTTTATGGCATGTTAGGGATCAGGCTTCCCTGGTGGCTCAGTGGTAAAGAATCTGCCTACCAGTGCAGGAGACACAGGTGTGATCCCTGGGTCGGGAAGATTCCCTGGAGAAGGAAATGGCAACCCAGTCTAGTGTTTTTCCCTGGAGAATCCCATGAACAGAGGAGCCTGGTAGGGTTGCAAGAGTTGGACAGGACTTAGCGACTAAACAACAAGGGGTCAGGCACTATTCCAAGCTTATGTATGGTCTACCCCTTGGCTCCTTGATGCTCCTGCCTGCAACTCCTCTCCACTTCCCTCTTCCCCAGGCTGTAAGCTGTCTCCAGGACCCCTGCATCCTGATTAACAGCCTCTCTCCCAACAGGCTGATCCCCATCCTGGTAAAAGGGATGAAGTACTCGGAAATCGACATCATCCTGCTGAAGGTTAGCTAGGGCTGACCACCAGTCACGGGCAGCGGGAAGGAAGGCTGGGGTGCTGGGGGCCTCCGGGGGTCTCAGCCATCTGTCTGGCTCCACAGGGGGATGTTGAGGAGGATGAGGCTGTCCCTGACAGCGAACAGGACATCAAGCCACGCTTCCACAAGTCGCGCACGGTGACACTGCCCCATGAGGCCGAGCGGCCCGATGGCTCAGAGGACGCGGAGGATGATGATGACGATGATGCTTTGTCCGACTGGAATCTGAGTGAGTGGCCTGGCCTGCAGTAGGAAGTAGGGAGTAGGGGACAGCAGGCCCTGGGCTCCCTCTCAGGTGACCAGAAGCCTATGCAGAGCAAATCGCGAAGATTCAAATCACGGCCTCAGATCCCAGGGGTTACAGAGAGGAGGGCTGGTGGCCTGCGCCCGTGCCTCCCTGAGCCCGCCCCCCATTTCCCCTCCCGCCCCAGGGAAGTGCTCGGCGGCTGCACTGGATGTCCTGGCCAACGTCTTCCGGGAGGAACTGCTGCCCCACTTGCTCCCCTTGCTCAAGGACCTCCTCTTCCACCCTGAGTGGGTGGTCAAGGAGTCAGGCATCCTGGTGCTGGGTGCCATTGCTGAGGGTAAGTCACCCTCCAGCCTGACTGCGTGTGACCTCTGAGCCTCATGCTGGTGTGAGATGGGGCTGGCCCAGGGAGGGCTGGTGGGGGCAAGGCCATCCCCAGGTTCTCTCCAGCTGCCTGCTCACCCCACTCCAAGCAGCTCTGGGATTTGAATCTTCCCCTGAGCCCAAGATCAGGCTTCCCGGGTGGCTCAGTGGTAAAGAATCCACCTGTCAATGCGGGATACGCAGGCACGATCCATGGGTTGGGAAGAAGATCCCTTGGAGGAAGAAATGGCAACCCACTCCAGTATTCTTGCCTGGGAAATCGTATGGACAGAGGAGCCTGGTGGGCTACAGTCCCTGGGGTCGCAAAGAGTCGGACAAGACTTAGTGACTAAACAACAACCACCTCAGCCCAAAGGCCTGAAAGGGACCTCCAAATGCAAGCCCTCTCCTTAAGTGTCAAAGAAAGGCAGTTCCACGAGGTCTTAAGCATAATTCCAGCAACAGTAATAACAGGCAGCCCTGTCCTATGGGCTTACCGCCACCCAAGGAGGTGGGTTTCTTAGATGAGGAAACTCAGCTACAAAGAGAATTATATCACTTTTCTTGTCACTGGGATGAAGCTGGGCCTCAAACCTGCTCTGACTGTGAGGCTGGCCTGCCAGGATCAGAAGTGTGCAGAGGTGGTGTTTCCTTCACTTTTCTGGCTCCCTTTGTCCTGATGGTGTGCACCAGGGTGAATTACCAGAGGGCTTTCCAGATCTGTGAGAGGAGACAGACTCAGACTACCTCAGCACCCAGATCCGCTGTAACATGTGCAGTGTTCTTCATTTTAGTGGGAAAGATCTCAAGAAATTGACCCTGTGTTGATAAAAATAGATCTCAGGGCTGGGATGATCAAGGGGTGTGCTGTTACCTGTGATCTGCCGTGAAAAGAGAGACAGACACATACAGGGTTTTTCTCTTTTTAAGAAAGGGAAGATGAAAAGTAGGAAAAAAAGTCACAGACATCTAAGAAAGGTTTCAAAAGAAAGGTGCTTTCTGTCCACCTGGGTTGCTGCTGCCCATAAAGTCTGAGTTAACTCTGCAGCCCAGCCATCTATGAACTAGTGACCAGATAGCTTCCCAGGTGTCCAAGTGGTAGAGAATCCATGTGCCAGTGCAGGAGATGGAAGAGACGTGGGTTTGATCCCTGGGTTGGGAAGATCCCCTGAAGGAAGAAATGGTTACCCACTCCAGTATTCTTGCCTGGAGAATCCCATGTGGACAGAGGGGCCTGGTAGGCTACAATCCATGGGGTTGCAAGGAGTTGAACACGACTGAGCACACACATAAAGTAACCAGTAGACAGCACAAGCCCTGGGATGGGGTGGAGCTGATGGAAAGGAAAGTATTTTTGTATTTTGGCTGTGCTGGGTCTTTGTTGCTGCGAAGGCTTTCTGTAGTTGTTGTGAGCAGAGTACTCACTGAGGCAGGGGCCTCTCATTGAGGTGGCTTCTTTTGTTGCGGAGCACAGTTTCTAGGGTGCATGGGCTTCAGTAGTTGTGGCACGTGGGCTTAGTTGTTTCAGGAGACATGTGGGATCTTCTCAAACCAGGGCTCAAACCCTCATCTTCTTCATTGGCAGGCAGATTCCTATCCACTGGATCACCAGGGAAGTCTGATGCCATTTCCCATCTCCACCCTGCCTTTCACTGACTCTGCCTCTGAGACAGTTATTTAACCTCCATGCCTCAGTTTCCCCCTCTGCCCAGAAGGGTGGATGTGGCCTGGCCCAGTTGGCTCAGCCTTGCTTCTGTGCCCAATCCTTACAGGCTGCATGCAGGGCATGGTGCCCTACTTGCCCGAGCTGATCCCGCACCTCATCCAGTGCCTGTCGGACAAGAAGGCCCTGGTCCGCTCCATTGCCTGCTGGACCCTGAGCCGCTATGCCCACTGGGTGGTCAGCCAGCCCCCCGACATGCACCTGAAGCCTCTGATGACAGAGCTGCTTAAGCGAATCCTGGATGGCAACAAGAGGGTACAGGAGGCGGCCTGCAGGTGACCCTCGACCCCAGCCCCACAGACCTCACCTCACTTGCCCCACTGGCTGCCCGCTGGGAAGTGATGATACTTAGGACTCCTGACAGTGAGCTGATTTCTCACCGTATTCGTACTGGCTGATCCCGAGTGCCCCCTTCCTGAACCCCACCCAGAGCCCAGTCCCACTGGTGGCGGCCCACTGAACACTTCTGCCCCTTCCAGTGCCTTCGCCACCCTGGAGGAGGAGGCCTGCACGGAGCTCGTGCCTTACCTCAGCTACATCCTAGACACCCTCGTCTTCGCCTTTGGCAAGTACCAGCATAAGAACCTGCTCATCCTCTACGACGCCATCGGCACCCTGGCTGACTCTGTGGGCCACCACCTCAACCAGCCGGTGAGACCCCACAGCAGCTCCCTCCTCCTGATCCCCCCTGTCCCCTCCCCGGCATCCAGTGACGTGGTGGCGACCCTTGTCGCACGCCAGGGACGTGGCCATGACCTCGACAGGCAGGCAGACAGACCTGGCCCCTGCCCTCAGCCTGCTCCCAGTCTAGTAGGGGAGACAGACAGTTATGAGACAGCGTGGTAAGTGCTGGGCGGGGGGAGCTCAGGGGCCCGTGGGAAGCAGGAAGCACCAACTCGGGTGGGGCTTAGGATGGGTGAGAAGGGAATGAACTAGAAGGGCCTGGAGGTCTGGCTGCTTGGTGAGGACCCCAGGAGCCAAAGAAAAGGGCCTAGACCTCATGGTTCAGACGATGAGCACCTCTTGAGTCAGAGGGAGTCGTGTTGGTTCCCAGGCCACCACCCGCACCCAGGGATCCTCAGCTTCCTGCTCCCTCTCCAGGAATACATCCAGAAACTGATGCCTCCGCTGATTCAGAAGTGGAACGAACTCAAAGACGAAGACAAGGATCTCTTCCCCCTGCTGGAGGTGAGTCAGCTTCAGGCCCTCTCCCGTGGCCCTGTTCCACTCACCTAAGCTCACCTCCTGCCCTTCCCTCTACCAGTGCCTATCATCAGTGGCCACTGCCCTGCAGAGTGGCTTCCTGCCCTACTGCGAGCCGGTCTACCAGCGCTGTGTCACCCTGGTGCAGAAGACGCTGGCCCAGGCCATGGTGAGCAGCCCACCTCCATCACCCCACCACCTGTCGCTCTGCTGCTGCCCCAGCCTGAGCTCACTCCCCTCACCCTGCCCTCCCCCTTCTGTGCCCAGATGTATACCCAGCACCCTGAGCAGTATGAGGCCCCTGACAAGGACTTCATGATTGTGGCACTAGACCTGCTCAGTGGCCTGGCTGAGGGCCTGGGTGGACACGTGGAGCAGCTGGTCGCCCGTAGCAACATCATGACACTGCTGTTTCAGTGCATGCAGGTGGGTGGACCCCTCACAGGCTTCTCAGTGGACAGTGGTAACCCCCAGAAGCCTTTGTGGGCTGCCTGGGGTGGACTTGGGGCCTTGGTTATGCCCCGAGGATATTAGAAAGAAAGAACTTATTAAAAGAACTGGTGGTTATTTTAAAAAGTGATTCAAATGAGATATGAGTAAAATCTTATTGAAAAAGTCAACAGAGTAGGAAATTAAAAAGTAGAAAATAGGAAATGTGAAAGCAGAAGCCCCTCCAACATCACTTCCCCACCCCCAGCGTATCAGTATGGAAAGCAGTTCTAAGTGGTACCCTGTGCAGGGCACTCATTCATGTGCCCCTGAGTCCTGGATCTTCAGATGGGCCTGCAGCCTCGGTGCTAGGAAGAGGCAGGATCAGCTCGTGCTCTAGGAACTGCGCCCCTAGCTGGCTGGGGGAAGGGGAGCCCTGCCACCCTGACCCTCCTCTGACCCCCAGGACTCCATGCCTGAGGTCCGGCAGAGCTCCTTCGCCCTCCTGGGAGACCTCACCAAAGCCTGCTTCATACACGTCAAGCCCTGTATCGGTACGACACCCATTGCGTCCACACCCCATGACCCCAGCCCTGGCCTCAAGTGATGGAGAAGATGACCTGGGAGTACTGTGACCGAACTGGGATGTGTTCGTACTGTCTGATGGGGCCTGCCCTTCAGGTTTCCGGAGGCTTCACCCTGGCTGGCCCCCCCCGCTCAGCACCCCTCTTTCTCCCCACCAGCTGAGTTCATGCCCATCCTGGGCACCAACCTGAACCCCGAGTTCATCTCTGTCTGCAACAATGCCACCTGGGCCATCGGTGAGATCTGCATGCAGATGGGTAAGTGCCCCTAGGTAGGCAGGCCCTTTCCCTTCCCTTTGGCTTGTTCCCAGCCTGGTGGCAGGACCCCTGTAGAGCAGGGGTCTCCAGCTTCTGGGATTTAATGCCTGATGATCTGAGGTGCAGCTGCTGTAATAATAGAAATAAAGTGCACAGTAAATGTAATGTGCTTGAATTATCCCAAAACCATCCCACCCCGGTCCGTGGAAAAATTGTCTTCCACGAAACCAGTCCCTGGTAACCAAAAAGGTTGGGGACCACTGCTCTTGAGGGCCCTGGTGCTCCTTGAGGCAGGTGCCGATTGGCCAGGGATGAGGGGGAAACCTCTGAGCATTTTCATCTGAGATGGGGACAGATGACTGAAAGAGCACATGTAACTGGCTTCTCCAAAGAGGCACAGGGACAGGAAGCCTATTTTTATTGGATTCATCATCACCTCCTTCCTCTCTAAGCAACTGACTGAAAGCCCCACTGGGATTCTTTGGGAGACTTCCTCTGAAGGTCCCCCTGGCCCTGCCTACCCCATAGGGAGACGGGGTGGTGTGGTCTCACTCTGGTGTCCAGCAGTGACTCCAGGGAGGCTTCTGGTGTTGGGCGGGTGCGGGTCTGTCTCTGGTTGGCCATGGATCCTGGACCACAGACATCTAGAGATGGCTTTTTGTTCACTCACTGGTTGGCCAGTGTCTGGATGCAGTTAGGGTCAGTGGGTGGTTGGGTGGTGTGGGCCACCCAGGGCTCTGACTCTCCTGTCCCCTAGGGGCAGAGATGCAGCCCTATGTGCAGATGGTCCTCAACAATCTGGTGGAGATCATCAACCGGCCCAACACGCCCAAGACACTGCTGGAAAACACAGGTGGGCGCCAGGCCTGAGCCACTGGCCGCCTCCCGGGGGTGGGGCTTCCCAGCCAGGAGGATAGCTGACAGAGAGGTCTTGAGAAAGAACCAGGGAGGGTAATGGGAATAAGGCAGTGGGTAGAGGCCTGGAAAGGGTGTTGGCCTAAGGGGAGACCTGGGAGAGGGCCAAGTTGGATGGGGTGGAGACCCTGACTGGCCCAAGCTTGGGGACCCAGGCAGCTGGCAGGAGCTGTTCCCTTGGGGCCCGTGGGGTGGGGCTGGCGCCTCGTGCTGGAGGCCCCGCCACGTACCCGGGCCGCTCGGGGTTGCAGGTCGCCTGACGAGCCCCTCTGCCATTCCAGCCATCACCATCGGCCGCCTGGGCTACGTGTGCCCGCAGGAGGTGGCCCCCATGCTGCAGCAGTTCATCCGGCCTTGGTGTGTGCCCACCCGGGTGGGGCCCCACCCCAGCCCTGCCCTGCCCACCCATGGATTACACAGTGCCCCACCGAGCCCTGACCTCCTGCTTCCCCCAGCCCAGCCCCACCACCCACTGACCTGCCGCCGCTCCCCAGTGTCCCCCGTAGATGTCCATAGTGCCCCAGCCCCAGGGGCTGATTCCCCACCGCTTACCTCCCCCCCTCCCCCCCTCCCCCCCACTCCACCAAACCAGGTGCACGTCCCTCAGGAACATCAGGGACAACGAGGAGAAGGACTCGGCCTTCCGTGGGATCTGCATGATGATAGGCGTCAACCCTGGGGGCGTCGTGCAGGTTGGGGCAGCTGGGCTCGGAGGGAAGGCGCTGGGGCTGGGCTTGGACGGACCCTCACATGGGATCCGTCACGTTTCAGGACTTTATTTTCTTCTGCGACGCTGTAGCCTCCTGGGTGAGCCCGAAGGATGACCTTCGGGACATGTTTTATAAGGTGAGGACCCCCCAGCTGGGCCCTAATCTAGTCTTGGGAGGTGGCAGGGTGGTGAGAGACTGAGATCATCCTCCTCTCATGCTGCTCCAGGGCGCCCCTGACTCCTCTTCTCTCACTGCAGATCCTCCATGGCTTCAAAGACCAAGTCGGGGAGGAAAACTGGCAGCAGTTCTCGGAGCAGTTCCCGCCACTGCTGAAGGAGAGGCTAGCCGCCTTCTACGGGGTCTAGACAAGCATCGCGACTGCCAGGTGTGGGGCCCGTGTTCACAGAGGGCTGGCACTGTCACAGGAGCCCTGATGGTACAGGCCCTAACGCCCTCCTCTCCCCACAGGTTTCTGTCTGCGTCGTCGTCAGAGGGGTTGCTGGGGAGCGTGCTGCGTCCAGAAGTCGCTGTGCCCTGGTCGAGGGGGGTTAGGGAGGAGTTAGCGGGACCCAAATCCAGACGTCTTCCCTGTCCATCTACCTGCCATGGCTGGCCGGAGGTTGGTCAGAGGGTGGGCAGGTGGGTGGGGCCTCCACGCTCATCCTAGAAACGGGAGGGGGGTGGGACTTCCTGGCAGCAAGGACCCCTTGCTCTAATTGGGGTCACCTCAGGCAGCCTACTTGGGCCAGCCATGTGGGAGGGAGGCATCAACACGGCCGACCAAATCCGGCTTAGGATGAGGCAAGGGAAAAGCAGGCGGGGAGGGGGGTCCTTGTAGAGACAAGTACACTCACACGTACACACACGGCTACACGCATGTGCGGGTGCTGTTGCCAGCCAGGCTGGGCCAGCCACCCCACCATTTCCCCGACTGCATGGAGACAGTAGAATTAGTGAACCCCTGAGTTAACTCGTAAGGCCTTCCGTGTAACCTGCATCTAGAGTTTAAGAAGCTTCTGCTGTTTTGCCGGAATTGGCAGTGATTAGGGAGGGCTGGGTGGGTTGGGGACCTCCACTGGGACCCTGGGGCGGGGGTGGGGGGAAGAGGATGGCCACCTTGGGGCCACTCAGTCAGCACGTGCACGCTTTGGACCTGCTCCGCACACTTCTTGCCAGCTCTGTGGCAGCCTCAGCCAGTGTGTCCCCCTTCCTTCTCCCATCCCAGCCAGAAAAGTTGGGACCACCAAAGTGGCCAGGGCTGGCCAGAGGTCGCCTTTTTCTCCCTCCCCTGTGCCCCAGTGACCTACGAAGATGCTGGGCTGGATGGAACCTTTTCCGCTGAAGAGAGCTGGGAGCAGCCAGAGCTGCTGACACCTTCCCCGCTATAAGCAAGTCCGTTTCAAAGGCAGTTCATTTCTCTGCTTCCAAGAGCACTCTTTCAGCCCTGAGTTTTAACACAAGGGCCAGGGCTAGGGCATTTAATTGATGGTGACGGAAGACAAAGGTTTAGGCTTTGCTAGCCAGAAAGAAACTGAAGACTTGGAGGAAGGGAAGGGTGGTATACGCCCTTACCCCCCTCTGGCCCTGGGACTTCTGATCACAGTTCCCAGCAGGCCCTAAGACCCCACCAGACTAAGGCAGTGAAACTTGTGGGATTGTTTGGGGAGTCCTTCACAGTGGGAGAGGCTCCCTTAAGGTGGTGGGGTGGTAACTTCCCATTTGGCCTAGAAACTGAAACCAAGCCTTGCAACCCCCATACTGGGGTTTTCTTCTCTCTTTTCCCTGCTTTCTATTTCTTTGGGGGCCTTTCTGCAATTTGCGATTTGCTGGGGTGGGGGTTGACTGGATTCTTGCATTCTGGGGCCTGCTCCATCCATCCCTCTGGGGCCCCGCCAGAGGGGCACTGGTGCACATTCCATAAACCCAGCTGGTTCCCCGCTGTGAAACTCCAGCAGGTCTCTGGAAGCCATTTGTAAAAAAAGAAAAAAAAAAAAGTAAACATTTAATTTTCTGGTAATTCCAGTGCTTTGGAGCATCCTCTGCTGGGTCTTGGGGTGTGTGGATTGGCTGCCTGATGGGATTGGTAACCCCTTCTCCATCCAAGATGGGGGGCCTGTTTCTAGTTCTTTTTTTTTTTTTTTTTTAAGAAAACTATTTAATTTTTTAATTTATTTTGGTTGATTTTTGCACAACGAAGTTTCAGCTTCTCAACCTTTTTCCCTTGCCCAGGGCTGCAGACCTTGACTGGCCTCGATCTGCAGTCCCTCTCGTTCGCACATCCCCCCTTCCCCTCATCCTTTTCTTCCTGCGGGCTCCAGGGTCTGTCCATTTGTTACTGTGCTGTGCTGGGGACTGGCGCCAAGGTGGCGTGAGATTCCACTTGTGTAGAACTTTGTTGAGTAAAGATCAGTTTCTTGTGAAACCCTTGGTCTCCATCTGGCCTCTTGTGTCCTTGGGTTTGGGCAGTAGAGAAGAGATGTAGAGGGGGGCCTGGAGAATCTTAGAAATGGGATGTACAGTAACCAGGAAATAACTGGGGGAGTGGGGAAGTAAGATTAAACATTAAATGTGGTAACATAACACATGCAACACAGTCTCTGGGACATAATGACAGTCTGGGAGTTCACTAGAACCTGAGCTCACTACAGCACAGATTCAAAATCACCATTGGCTAAAGACTAAACTGAGTGGCAAGGAGCAAGGCCTTGCTGCACTCTTCAGCTGGTCTCACAACTTAGGATTTTTAGAATGCTCAGCCCAGCATCAAGGCTGTGGGGCCAAGGAAAACATGGACAACAGTTAAAGGCAAATAAAAAATCTCTTATCTGGGGATGCAGAGGCCTCAGGATAAAGTCTTGCAACCTCTGTTAAACCCAGCGATCACCTGCATCAACCTGGAAGAAAATTTTGAATGCTGATACGACCAATTTTCATTCAACAAGTGTGTGCATTTTAGTAGAACAAATAAAGCTAACCAGTGAAACAGCGGTATGTCCCATAGAGAAAAATATAGTGGGGGGAGGGGAGAGAGTACGTTTTGGAAAATGATCAGTCTTACAGTACTCTGGGTGCTTAGGGTAGTCTGCTGAGGTGATTGAGCAAAGAGTCACGTGGATATCAGAAGAGAGAACGGGCTAGTGCTGCTTAGAGTTTGTGAGTTAACCCTGCCTGGCTCAAAAGAGGCTATCGGTAAATGAGATGCTGTTTTCATCAGTAGGATTTTAGGTAGTTAACTTTCACCGAGGGCTCTGCAGTGTAAGTGTTTCTGGGTGGCTAAAAAAAAGACAGGAATCTAGCATGCTTAGACTTCGAACCAGGAAAAAGGGATTTATTTCTGAGGTCCCGTGTCTGTGAGAAGGGCTTTAGGGCCGTGTTTTTCAAACCAGAGTCCAATGGCCCTCTGCATCAGCAACATCAGACATGCTAGTTTACTAAACGCAGGAACCAGGAATCTGCATTTTCCAACCCAAGGCCGACGCAGCTTAAGAACTAGACCTTTCCGAGGGGCCGGCATCTATCACGCGGCCAGTTTCCACGCAGGTTGCTTGGTTCCGGCTAGCGCCTAACGTCATCTGGCAGCGCCGGAAGTGCCGTCGTGCTGCCTAGGAGACAGGACGCGGGCTCTGCGGCTGACAGGGCAGGGCCGGCCGCGCCCACCCGGTCGCCATGGAGCTGCCTCCAGAGCCGCGCGATGATCCCCACGCCTGGGACGATGACTCGGACTCGGAGCTGGAGCCTGACCCCGACGCGCAGGCCGAGGCTTACGTGGCCCGCGTGCTCAGTCCTCCGAAACTCGGGCTGGCACCCCCGCGCGCCCCTCCTTTGCCCGCGCCCACGGTGTCCCTTGGCACTCTGGAACCGTGGGCCGCGTCCAAGGGCCCGACTGTGGCGGTTCCGGGCCTGCTGAGCCTACCCCCGGAGCTGCTGCTCGAGATCTGCGCCTACCTCGACGCGCGCCTCGTGCTCCATGTCCTGCCACGCGTTTGCCACGCGCTGCGCGACCTCGTGCGTGACCATGTCACCTGGAGGCTACGCGCGCAGCGCCGCGTACGCGCGCCCTACCCAGTGGTGGAAGGTGCGCGCGCCCAGGGGTCGCCCGCCCAAGTCAGGCCTGGGGCGAGGGGGGAGGGGTCCAGGTCCACTGGAGGAAACTCCCAGGCTGCCCTGGCTCAGGGTGGCTGAGGTAGTTACTGGTAGTACCAAAGCCCCTGACCTCTGGGTGGACCGTGAGGCCGATACTTGGGATCCTGAGGCTATAGAAATCCACCTGGATAACTGTGGTCCCTGAACTAAAGACCTAATGATTCTCAGGCAGGTTGCCACAGCGACTTGAAGTCTCAGGTTGTCAGAATCTGCTTGGTGCTCAAAGTAAGACCAAGAATCCCCAGGTTCTGGGTCTAGATGCTAAGGCAGCAACTGGTGATGTCAAAGTCCCATACCCCTAGAGTCTTGGCCTAGGTGAGGGTGAGACATGGACACAGGTCCAGAGTCTACAGCCCTTGAACCTAAGCTATGGTTTAGAGGTTGGGATCCCTGATACCAGCATTCACAGACCCTCAAGTTCAGGGTCTAACCTGTGATCTCAGACAAGGGCTGGTGGTCATTCCTTCTGCCACCAAAGTCTTTGGTCCCTAGAGCATAATGAAGCATGGTGATCCTGAATTGATGGGACTTTACTGAACAGCTTGATTAAAATATAGATGTTTGGGTCAAGGGCTTGGGTCCTGTGCCTTGACAAGGGTCCCAGGTTTGGGATACTGATTTCGGGAAACACTTCCATGGGTCTGGTTCAGGTGGCCAAAACAGGAAGTGTTAGTTATGTAGTCCTAGCTCTTGTGCCCAGCCTGAGGGTTGGGGAGGGTGAGGCCGAGGTTGGACCTCAGCCATGGGTGAGGCAGGACCTTAACATCCTGAGGTTGGAGAATGAGGCCTGGTAAGGTGATCCTGGGGCTCCAATTACCCAATTCCTGGAAACGGTAAGCAGCAGTCTTAGACCTGCATGGCAGGTGGGTGGGATGGTGGTCCCAAAGCTAGAGCCTGGGCCTCCTTGGGTGGGGTAAGGGATCCAAGTGGGATTCTCTCCAAGTCTTCTGCTCCCTGGAAGCCAGTGATGAGCTTGGACAGCTGGAGTGGGTGGCAGGTTTCCTGCCCACTGGGAACCCTGGTATTGCATCCCACAGAGGAGGACTTTGACTGGCCGAAGGCCTGCATTGAGTTGGAGCAGCACCTGTCACGCTGGGCAGAGGATGGGCGCAGGGCTGAGTACTTCTGCCTGGCTGATGGGCACTTTGCTTCCATTGACTCGGTGCTGCTGCTTCAGGTGAGACGGGGGTTGGTGGAGGGCCCGGCAGTTGGGGGCCAGGGTGACCCCAGCCACACCACCTCGCTCCTCTCCCAGGGTGGGACACTCTGCCTGTCGGGCTCCCGAGATCGCAATGTCAACTTGTGGGACCTTCAGCAGCTGGGGGTGGAGCCCAGCCGGGTTCTGGTCAAGACCCTGGGGACCCAGAAGAACAGCACTCACAAGGTGAGGGGACAGGAGGTCAGGCAAAGGCAGGAGCTGGGAGGCCTGGGTAGGACACTGGCTGAGGGTATGGGTTTTGGCACCAGACCTCATAGGTTTATTATTTTTTTATTTTTATTTTTTGGTTATGTTGGGTCTTCATTGCTGCACTGTGGCCTTCTCTAGTTGTGGTGAGCAGGGGCTACTCTTTGTTGCAGTCCTCGGGCTTCTCATTGCCGTGGCTTCTCTTGTTGCGGGGCACCGGCTCTAGGTGAGAGCAGGTTTATTTAGTAGTTGCAGCACATGGGCTCAGTAGTTGCACTGTGAGGCTTTAGGGTGCATGGGCTTCAGTAGTCATGGTGCACGGGCTTAGCTGCTCCTTGACATGTGGAATCTTCCCAGACCAGGGATTGAACCTGTGTCCCTTGCATACATAGGTGGATTCCTATCCACTGTGCCCCCAGGAAAGTCCCAGACCTCATAGATTTCAGTCTTGCTCTGCTATTGTTCGTGTGACTTTGGGTAAAATATATGACTTCTCTGGGCCTCACTTACTGCTTCTGTCCAGGTGTCAGTTAGGATGAGGTTGAATGAGGTGACTGTGCATTAAGAGCTTCACTCAGGCTCATGTAGAGTAGGTGCTCAGATATCAGGTTTACAGATACATGGAATCTAGTTCCCTGACCAGGGATCAAACCCAGGCCGCCTGCAGTGGGAGCCTTAGACATTGGACCACCAGAAAATTTCTGTGGAGGTCCTATTCTTAATCACATTGTCACGTGGCCTCAAACCTGTGCTGGTGCTAAGGCTCTGAAGTACTTGATTTAGGAACATTATCAGGTGGGGGTGTACATGTTTTGGGCTTCCCTGGTAACTCAGCAGTAAAGAATCTGCCTGCAATGCAGGAGCCATGGGTTCAATCCCTGGGTCTGGAAGATCCCCTGGAGAAGGGAATGGCAATCTGTTCAGTTATTCTTGCCTGGAGTATTCCATGGACAGAGGAGCCTGGTAGGCTGCAGTCCATGGGATTGCAAAGAGTTGGACATGATTTAGCAACTAAACCACAACAACACCGTGCAGGTCTTGGGTTCTGAAGTCAGACCCACAGACCTGAGCTCTAATCTCTCCTCAGTGCTGACTCACTCTGGGTTTTGTGAAATGGGGAAGATCACAGGACATGGCTCTGGTCCCACAGGGCTGGGTGTGGTCACTGGCAGCGCTGGACCACCGAGTGTGCTCTGGTTCCTGGGACAGCACAGTGAAGCTCTGGGACATGGCAGCTGGCGGACAGCAGTTTGGCGAGATAAAGTGTGAGGGGACCTGGGCAGGGGGGCCCGGGTGGGCAGGGCTCTGTCTGGCCCCTGCCCCAGCTCTGTGGCCTATGTGTCCCCAGGGCCAAGGCAGCTGTTCTGTGCCTGTCCTACCGGCCAGATATCCTGGTGACTGGCACCTACGATAAGAAGGTGACCGTCTACGATCCCAGAGGTGGGCCCTGGGGCCTAGGTGGGGAGAGCAGGACTGCCTGGGGTCTCCAGGGTCATTTTGGGAAAAGAAACACTTGGTCCTCACAGTCTGACTGGGGTAACAATCACACAACGAGAGGCTGGCCACTCCAAGTGGCCTGTGTTGTGCTGGGGACCACAAAGATGACTGGTGTGCGGGATGCTAGGGGCAGAGGAAGCCCTGTCTCCACATGGGATGGGGTAATGGACTGGAGGGCCCCCAGAGGAGGCCATGGAGGATGGAGATCCGGGATCTGGGGGGTGGGGCTCCAAGGGGCTCTGATGTCCCCCTCCTCCCTGGCTCCTCACCCACAAAGTTGGCCCGGCCCTGCTGAAGAGCCGGCGGCTGCACTCCAGCGCCGTGCTGGCACTGCTGGCGGACGACCGGCACATCATCTCAGGCAGCGAGGACCACACGCTCGTGGTGTTCGACCGCCGGGCCAACAGTGTCCTGCAGCGGCTGCAGGTGGGCCTCCCCCGGGGGCCCAGAGGGCCGGGGCTGCGTGGAGTGGCCCGGACCGGCCTGAGCCACTCCATCCCCTGTCCCTCCTGCAGCTGGACTCCTACCTGCTCTGCATGTCCTACCAGGAACCTCAGCTCTGGGCCGGCGATAACCAGGGCCTACTGCACGTCTTTGCCAACCGCAGTGGCTGCTTCCAGCTTGTCCGGGTCTGCCAAGGCCCTCGCCCCTGCCCGACTCTCCCTGGGCTGCCTCCCCGCCTCTTAACCCCTGGGGGGCAGTGGGGCACTGGCCTAGGGAGAGCCACACCTGAGTGTCACCTGTCCCTCCCTCCCCCAGTCCTTTGACGTGGGCCACAGGTCTCAGATCACGGGGATCAAGCACTCCCTGGGGGCCTTGTACACCACGTCTACTGACAAGACCATCCGGGTGAGGGCCCAGGACGGTGCCTCTTCTCTACCCACCCTCACTTGCTGGGGACACGTCCCATGACGCTTGCCCACTGCCCCTCACCAGGTACACGTGCCCACAGACCCGCCAAGGACCATCTGCACTCGAAGCCACCACAATGTGCTGAATGGGGTAAGGCCCTGTCCCACGCGCCCCGCCCGCCCCCTGAGAGCACCCCTGACTGCTGTCCCTGTCCTCACAGATCTGTGCTGAGGGCAACCTGGTGGTGGCTGCCTCCGGGGGCCTGTCGCTGGAGGTCTGGAGGCTGCAGGCCTGAGCAGGTGGATGTGGATGTGGGTCTGCCTGCCGGCAGGCGGGGCCATGCCCTGTACTCTCGGGGCCGGGGACCTCCCCCCATGCTGGTGCTGCCTCTGCCCTGCCCCACAGGCCTACGGCACAAGGGGTCCTGGCCACGGCCATGTGGGGTCCCTGGGCTGGGCCCCACGCCAGGGGAGGTGAGCTTTGCGTTCAGGCCCACCAAGGGGGCTGCTCCCCACCCTCGGGCCCTGTTTTTGTTATGATTTCGATGCTGGCTCTGCCTTGAGAGCAAAGGAGAAATAAACCTACTGTACTGGTGCTCCGGCCTGGAGTGTGAGCCTGGTGTCACCTGAGGGCTCTGTCCCTCCTTGCTTGGGACCAGGGTACCCAGGGTGGGTGTGTGTATGTGAGATGGGGCCTGAAAGCCTGGGCGACAGCCACTGCTGTGTGTGTGCTGGGGGGGGAGTTCTGGGTGCGCCTGTGCCTGCCCGGGTGCATTTCAGGGATCATGTGTGCCCGAATGTCCCCAGGGAGGCCAGTCAGGCTGTTGTTTAGTCGCTCAGTCATGTCCGACTGTTTGCGACCCCATGGACTGTAGCCCGCCAGGCTCCTCTGTCCATGGGATTTCCCAGGCAAGAATACTGGAGTGGGTTGCCATTTCCTCCTTCAGGGGATCTTCCCGACCCAGGGATTGAGACCGCGTCTGCTGCATTGGCAGGCGGGTTCTTTACCATTGATCTATGCATGGTTACAGTGGCCCTATCTGTGGCTTCTTTGAGGAAGAGGGAGACACTTGAGAAGTGGCACTTGTCTGCATGATGGTACCTGCATGTGTGAACTGTGTGGGTGTGTATGTGTGTGACATGGGCTGATACGTAGATCGGGACTCTAACCCTGGGTGTTTGTGCAGTGGGACCAGGCACCTGCTAATGCTACCCCATAGGCCGTGGGGAAGGGGGCAGTCAGGGAAGGGATAGGTGAGGGAGGGGCATGCTCCTCTATTCAGGGTCCAGGGTGTGCCTCTGTGGCTGTGACCCTGGCGTGGGCGAGGAGGGAGGCTGGGCCAGGCACACCCCACACCTGGCCCCTACAAACCCGAAATCCACCACAGAAGCTCAGCCAAGCCATGCCCTGAGGAGCACTCACTTGATGTTCATTGAGGCCCCCGGGTGGTCCGGGCTGCAGGGTTCAGAGAATGGCACAGGGCTTCTTCTCCTTGAAGGGGTTGGTGGCTGCCGGGATGCCCACGAGAAAGGGGTCGCTCTTGGCCTGCTCTGTGCAGAACTGCAGCAGGTCGGCAGCTGCCTTGGATACCTGCAGACCATCCCAGTTAGTCCACCCTGGGCTGGGCCGTCCACCTGCCCCGCTTGCTCAGACGCACCCGCCTCAGCCTGGTCCTCACCTTCACGCGGTCAATGCTGGCCTCCATCCGCAGCTGCTCCACGGCCCGGCGGGCTTGCCCAATGTCACTGCCAACGGTCACCTTGCTGGACATCTGAGGGAGGGTGAGCAGAGCCACAGGCAGCAGACTGCACCCCCAACCCCAAGCTCCTACCTCCTTCTATGTCCCTTGTGCCTGAGGGCTGGGGGTAGCTGCTCCCAACCCGTCGGGACCATATACTTCAGCTGAAGCCTCCGGCTGACTCCTGGCTGCTCGGTCCTCCTCCTGTGGCCCCACTCTGGAGCCCTCCCCCAGCCCAGCCTCTCCAACACCCCCCACCCCCACAATGCCTGCAGAGACTTTGAAGCCAGGATGCTCATGGAGTGAAATGTCACCAGCGGCAAGAGCAGCTGCCGAGGCCAAGGGGGTCCCTGCCCAGGAGGCCCAGTGGCTGTCGTGTGTCAGCTTCGCTGGGGGAGTGGAGCGGCCCCGGGCTCTCACAGATCTGCTTGATCCCCTGCTAACTGGCTCCTTCTCTGATGCGAGGAGGCACAGCGTGAACCCTGGTTCAGGTGCAGCCCTGCCTCTCCTGTGTGTGTCTATACTCATGACCCAGGGTCCTTATCCACAGATGACTCAATTCACTCACTTATACTGATGGCTTCCCCTGCGTCCCATCCCCTTCCCTGACCTCTGACCCACACGAGGCCCCTCCTCTCTCCTCACTCCCTCACTCCCACCTCTCAGTTGTCTCTCACCTAACTTGGCCAAAGCTGGACCCTGGATCATCTCCCCCAACCCCAAACCTCCGTCCCCCAAGTTCACCACTGAAGAAGGAATTCATAGGGCCAGGACTCCATCTGAGGCCTGTCCGTGCTGATCATGCTTGGCCGCCTCTCCAGTGGACTCTGAACTCTCTGCTTAGTGCCTGTGGGAACGACAATGGAAGGATAAGACCCCCTCCGGACAGGGGAATCTTGAAGATCACATCCAGGTTACTCATTGCCTAAGAGGAAACATACCGTAATCACCCCTGTCTCCGGACAGGTCATAAACTTTTCCTGTATCTATCGGGATGTAATCACAGGCTTATCGATTATTAACTGGTTGGAACGTGACCACAAGCTTATTAACTGTTTGGAATGTAACTGTGGGCTTATTGATTATTGACTGAACACATAACATGTGAATGATGGGGTTATTGTAGTTGTATTTACCCTTCCTTTGTTTATGTAAGTCTCAAGGGAATTGGGGTGGTGGGTTTGGACACGTACACATGGGGTATAAAAGATTTTCACAAATGCTGGTCGGGGTCCTTGGCTAAGAGGGGACTCTGCCTTGGGCCCGCCGGTGTAATAAACTGCACTCCACTCTGCATTGTCCCTCTGAGTGAGTCTGTTTCTCGGAGAGCGTGGCTATACCACCACCACCCACCCAACTGCCCTGGTTCCAATCTTTAACTCCTTCATTCCTTTCTTCCAGTATTCCCACATTTAATCCTTCATCAAGAGCCATCAGACCAACTTTCTTTGTTTTTAATTAATAATTTTTTATCGGAATAGTTGATTTACAATGCTGGGTCAGTTTCTGCTGCACAACGAAGTGAGTCAGTTATACATACACAGATATCCACTTTTTTTTTTTTAAAGATTCTCTTCCTGTATAGGTCATTACAGGGTATTGAACAGAGCTCATCTATAAACAGTGCTGTTTACAGATGAACTTTCAAATTAGGTTGTCAGACTGGTGACTTCTCCCCCTGCTGTTGGTAGCACTGGGGTCGTGGCCCCCCATCTCAGTTTGCCTGGGCCAGTGCAGTTGTCTGGTCTCCCCTGCCCTGCACACCCTGACCCCATTCTCCTCCAGTAAGTCAGTGGGATCTGATAAGTAAATCACATTACAACATGGATGAGACTTGGGGACATTCTGCTAAGTGAGATAAGCCAGTCACAAAATGACAGCTAATACATGATTCCACTTATGTGAGGTAGTCAAATCCCAGAAAGCAGAATGCCAGTTGCTGAGGAGAAAGAGGGATGGGGAGTTGTGTTTAATAGGTACGAAGTTTCAGTTTGGGAAGATGAAAGAGTTCTTGAGATGAATGGAGGTGATGGTTGTGTAACAATGTAAAGGTACTTAGTGCTTCTGAACTGTGGACTTAAACATGTTTACAGTGGGGGACTCTCCTGTGGTCCAGTGGCTAAGACTCCACATTCCCAATGCAGGGGGCCTGGGTTCAATCTCAGGGAAATAGATCCCTCATGCCATGACTAAAGATACAACATACTGCAAGTAAGACCCAGTGCAGTCAAAAAAGTATCTTTTTTTTTTTTCATTTATTTTTATTAGTTGGAAAAAAAGTATCTTTTAAAGAAGATACAGACTACAAAGCTTTCTCTCTTAAAAAGAAAAAATAAAGTTACAATGTCAATTTCATGTTATGTATTCTACCACAGTTTTAGAAACTGGAAAAAAATAAATCAGAGTCTTTCATTTTAAAAACTCCCCTATGGTTTCCCAGCCCCTGAGAATAAAACCCACCCTCCTTACGACAGCCCACAGGGCCCTGCCTGGTCTGGAACCTTCTGTCCTCTCTGAATCCTTTTCAACCCCTCCTTCTTTCTTCACGGATCACCCTGACGTCTTTGTGTGTGTTGCATCCATTTTTGCTAAGATCCCAATGTGTGCCCGGCACTGCAGAGAGTGAAGAGAACAGCAGTGAAACCTGACAAGATCCTGCTTTCACAGAGCTGCTATTCTAGTCAGGGAGGGATGAACAACAGCAAACAGACTATATCGTGTACTGTGAAAAATAACAAGGGCAAGGTAAGAGCAATCAAGGCAGGCCTCTTGGAGGAGGTGACATTTGGATTGAGGCCCAGAGGAGGACGAGCTGGGGAAGCAGGTGTTCCAGGCAGCGAGAGCAGCAAGTACACTGCCCCTTGGTCAGGAAAGAGCCTGGTGGGCTCTAGATCAGTCAGGTCAGTGGAGCTGGAGACAAGTGGGGACAAGTGAGTGGGGACAAGTGGTAGGGGGTGAGGGTAGGCAAGTCAGTGCTTTCTTAGGCCACAGGGAAGAGTCCAACTATTACTGGGAAGCCACAGTAAGAGGGCTTTTCTAAAAAAAATTATTTTTGGCTGTGCTGGAATATTTCTACATCATTGCTACCCGGCCTCTGGGTACTCTTCATTGTGGTGTGCAGGCTTCTCTTCTTGCCGAGCATGGGCTCTAGGCCACGTGGGTTTCAGTAGTTGCGGCTCCCAGGCTCTAGAGCACAGGCTCAATAGTTGTGGCACATGGGCTTAGTTGCTCGGAGGCATGTGGCATCTTTCCGACCCAGGTGTCAAACCCGTGTCTCCTGCACTGGCAGATGAATTCTTTACCACTGGGCCTCCAGGGAAGCACACCGTGTATAGTGTAGACTCCATAAATTGTAGAGTGAGTGATTACAGGGGTCTCACTGGACTAAACCCTATGCATGGTTAGGAGGACCAATGAGATTATAGACCCCACCCTCCAGCATCTCAAAGGCTAGCTAGAGGGAAAGAGATGTCAGCCCTGGATCCCTTACCCAGAGGAAGGTCAAGGAAGACTTCTCAGAGGGATGTGGCAGCTCAGCTGCCAGAGACAGAAGACCAGGGGTTATGCCGCATATGGAGGCTCCGGAGACTTGCAAGACACGAACAGCGATTTTTCTATTTGACGAGAGACTTTCCGAGGCAGAAACTGTCTGATACCTCCTGGTGATTCGAATTCTAACAGCAACGTCCAAGAAACCATTCTCTTTGAGAGGGTAGACACCAACTGGCAAGCTCCACGCAACGCGGCGCGTTTCCAGCAGGCGGCAGTAAAAGTGAAAATCATTCGGCGGCTGGGAACACATGGGATATAAATGATGGCTCCTCGCGGCTTCCGTATTACGGACTGTACAAGACAAGATGGCCGCCCTCTGGATTCCGGGCGCGGCGGGTCATGTGATCATACAACTTCCGGCCCTCCCCAGGTTTTCCCCAGGACTTGAGTCTCCTACAGAAGTACGTGCCGGGGCCTAGCGCAGTTCGAGGCCGCCAGGAGGCTGGCTTGGGGCGGCTCTGATTTGAGAGTGCAGCTGCAGGAACATGGAGGGTTCCCGGGAGAGGGAGGTGCCTGCGGCGGCGCTGGCCGCCGTGCTGAAGCACAGTTCGGCACTGCCTTCCGAGAGCGCGCAGGTCCGGGGCTACGACTTCAACCGCGGCGTAGACTATCGTGCGCTGCTAGAGGCGTTCAGCACCACTGGTTTCCAAGCCACCAACTTCGGGCGCGCGGTACAGCAAGTCAACGCCATGGTGAGGCCTGGGTGAGACTGCCTGGGTTGAGGGGGCGTGGCCTCCAGTAGCACTCTGCGGTAGCTGGGGGCGGGACTTCTCAGGGAGGTGTGTACTTCGTCCAATAGTGGGAGAGAGTATGGGGCCCGGGAGTTTCTGTGCTGGGGAGTGGACTGTTTCTGGGGCGGGGAGCGGGCGTTATAGGCAACGGGTGAAAGTATTATGGAAGGGACGGAGCCTGGGCTAGAGAGTGCATTTGAGGGAGGAATTGGAGGACCGTTAGACCTGGCCGGACCTGAGCTTGGGTTTGCTTTTTCGGGTGGGGAGAGGAGTCGGGCCTGAAAAAGTGATGCTCTCGGATTCCTGAAAAGGGGCAAAGCCTAAGCATGTGACCTGAGACTTGGGCTGTGAACAGGGCGCAGCCTACACAGAGGTGTTCCTTTCCCTGTTCCAGGTAGAAGTGGTTCCCTGTCCCTGAGTGGGCAGAGCCTGGGCGGGAGTCTGACACCAAAACCCACCGGGGGTCCTTGGGGTGGAATTTGGGGCCAGAGGTTAATTCGACCCTGCCCTTACATAGATAGAGAAGAAACTCGAGCCGCTATCTGAGGATGAAGACCAACATGCAGACCTGACCCAGAGCCGACGCCCACTCACCGGCTGCACCATTTTCCTGGGCTACACGTCCAACCTCATCAGTTCAGGCATCCGTGAGACTATCCGTTACCTCGTGCAGCACAACATGGTGGGACCTGGTGGGGGTGTGGCCTTGGGCTCTCTGGGTCAATAAGATTACTGGTCATTTAAGTGAGATAGGGAGATGTGGGTCAGTTTTGTTTTGCAGCAGAGCTCCCCACAGGGGTCACTGTATGAGGGTTGGGGGTTGGTTCTGCTTGGGATAACCTCACTGCCTTGTGGCTGCAGGTGGACGTCTTGGTGACCACAGCTGGGGGTGTGGAGGAGGATTTCATCAAGTGCTTGGCTCCCACATACCTGGGCGAGTTCAGCCTCAGGGGGAAGGAGCTTCGTGAGAACGGGATCAACAGGTGGGTGGGTGGGGGCTGAGTGGTGCTGGGTAAGGGAGGCAGACTGAGGGTCCTGGGCCCTGATGTCCATACACCTTCTGTCCCCAGGATTGGAAACCTGCTGGTGCCCAATGACAACTACTGCAAGTTTGAGGACTGGTTGATGCCCATTCTGGACCAGATGGTGCTGGAGCAGAACACAGAGGTGAGGCTGGAGCAACTTGGGGCTGGGGGCAGGGCAGGGGGTTGGGTTTGCTGATGGCATGGTGAGTATCAGGGGAGGCGCCACTGCCTGAAGCCAGTGTCTCCCTCCTCCTAGGGTGTGAAGTGGACACCTTCCAAGATGATCGCCCGGCTTGGCAAGGAGATAAACAACCCAGAGTCTGTGTATTACTGGGCCCAGAAGGTGAGGGACTGGCGGGGGCAAAGATGCCAGGCTTTGGCATGTGTTGCTTTTCACAGCCACCTGGATAGTGGGTACTAGTCTCCTCATCCCTGCTTCTACATAAGGAGCCTCAGAAACAGAGCAGTTAGGCAGTTTGTCTTAAGTCCCATAGCTATTGACTGTGGATCTGGTATTCTGGCTCTACTCCTCGACTGCTGGGAAGTAGTTGGGCAATACTTAGCAGCTCCTATGGGGCCTGTTGGAGGGCCCCGTGCTCCTCAGAGGCTCTGGGGTCCAGCAATCAGAAAAACACAAACTACTATTCTTCATGTGCCAGGGCCAAGTGAAGTTAAGCACCCTGCCTAGAATCAGGCAGAGGAGGAAATGCCTGCAGGCTGCCCCTACAGGGCTTAGATCCGGCCACCCTCCTGTCTTGCTCTTTCCTAGAACCACATTCCTGTGTTGAGCCCGGCACTCACAGATGGCTCGCTGGGTGACATGATCTTCTTCCACTCCTATAAGAACCCAGGTCTGGTCCTGGACATTGTTGAGGGTAAGATGTTGAGGCCCCAGAGGAGCAAGGGAGGAGGGCTGCTTGGGCCTGTGGTGGCCTGACTCAGCCCTCTCTCCCAGACCTCAGGCTCATCAACACACAGGCCATCTTCGCCAAGCGCACGGGGATGATCATCCTGGGTGGAGGCATGGTCAAGCACCACATCGCCAATGCCAACCTCATGGTGAGCAGGGATGCAGGCTGTGTGGTCCCTGGTGGGGGGTGGTACTCGTGCCTGCTGTGCAGACAGGCCAAGATGCCTGCCCTCCTCAAACTGATGCTCTAGTGGGGGAGATGAACAGCAAACCAGTGACAAGGTGACATGCACATCAGGTGGCAGTATTGGCTACAAAGAAAGACCAGGGATGACAAGAGAGCAGGAGAAAGGCATGCTATTCAGAAAAGGGGAAGCTTCCTAGGAAGTGTGACCTGTGAACAGAGGTTTTTCAGGGGTTGCTCCCCATGAACCATGTGGTTATCTTAGGGGATGGGTTTGAGATGAGTTCCTAGCAGAGAGACTGGCCAGTGCAAAGGTTCTGAGGTGCCTGATGTAAGCACATCTCGAAGGCCAGTGAACGGGAGAGTGAGAGGAGGTGAGGCCAGAGGTGACAGGCGAAAAGTGCAAGGCCTTGAGGGCCACTCAGGCGCTCACAGACTCCCTCTGGGAGGGAAGAGGTGCGGAGGTCTTCTCTGGCAGATGTGGGTGGGCTCTTGCTACCTAGGATGAGTCTGGAGCAAAGCTGCCCACTGCCCAGCATCCCATGACACCCCCACTTGGCCCAGGTACCGACACGAGCTCTTCCCTTGGAGTCAAGGCCACCAAGGGCTTCCTGTATCTGGGACACATCCCTCTGCCTTTAGCTACAGTGCCCTGCCCTGGGGTCTGAATCTGGCTGACCAGCCCATTCTGTCCCTCCCCACAGCGGAATGGCGCCGACTATGCCGTCTACATCAACACTGCCCAGGAGTTTGATGGCTCTGACTCAGGCGCCCGGCCAGATGAAGCTGTCTCATGGGGCAAGATCCGGATGGATGCACAGCCTGTCAAGGTGAGGGTTGGCCAGCCAGCTGGAGCACAGGGTCTCCTAGGCTGCAGCTGTGGATCCCCTGGCTCACCTGGGTCCCCTCCATAGGTCTATGCTGACGCCTCCTTGGTCTTCCCGCTGCTTGTGGCTGAAACCTTTGCCCAAAAGGTAGACGCCTTCACGCCCGAGAAGAATGAGGACTGAACACTGGTTGGTGCAGCCCCAGGGAAGCCCCGCCCCCTCCTCTATTTATTACTTTGCAGACCCAGCCCCTCCCCACTCCTTGGTCAGCTGCATGTCTAGAATAAATGATCTCAGTGGTCCTCCTTAGGCTGTGTCTCTGTCCTTGGCAGTGGGTCCCCTGGCTTCAGCTTGGGGCACCTTCAGCCTCGTAGGTCTCTTCCCGCCAGCACTGGATGCTGCCCCCCATGGCAGTCAGCAGGCAAGGCTCCGTGGGGTGGTAGGCCAGTGACTGCACCACACCAGGACCTACAGGCAGGGCCAGCGGCAGGGCACCCTGTGGAGTGAGGGGGTTGGTAGTGGTCATCAGGGTGTCCCCCTCCTCTTGGCCGCTTCTCCCCTGGTTTCCATTATAATGCCTCTAATTGCTTCCCAGACATTGCAAACTTAAATCAGTCCCACATTGAGCCCGCCAGTCGGTTGTCATTCCAGGTGCTCAGGTCAAACACCTTGGATCTTCCTTTTACATCTCAAATCCTTTTGTAAGTAAATCCTCTTGGCTCTGCCTTTAGACTGTGCCCAGAGATTGCCATCTGGGCTCCACCAGCCCACCTGACAGCCTCAATGCTCACTCCTTTTATTACCCTGCAGTCATGGTCTCAACATATCGGGTTCCTCTCTCCATCTGCAAAATGTCCTTTCATGTGCCCTCCCCTTCATGTGCCGGTGTCCTGGACCCTCGAGAAGTAGGCAAAACACTGGTGCCTCCTTAGTTCCCAAAGGGAGAGCTGGCTCCTCAACTCTTCAGGGCCCTCCAGTTCCTTCATCCTCTTAGAGGCTTACTTCTGTGGCCAAGCCCCAGCCCTGACCCCATGAAGCCTGGCTGGTCAGTTCCCATTCTAACGCCCCCACCAGGCTGAGACACATTAGGACAGAGCTTACAGGGCGGGAAACCATGGGGATGCTCAGATGTGGCTCAGATTTCCTGAACAACTACAGCCCCATCTCACCTGGGGTGAGATGCCACCATCAGCCCCCTCCCTGAGGGTCAGTCCCAGTGGCCCCGCCTGACCTGGATCCTGCTGCCACCACTGCCATCCACAGCCCTTCCATTTCCTGACTGATGCATGGGCGCCACACCTCCAAGCTTTGGCATGTGCTGTGCCCTTTGCCAGGACTGCCCTTCTTTCTTCATTCTCATTCCTTCTAGCCCCCCCCCCGCCCCCCCTTTTCAGGCCTGAGAGTGACTCAGGGAAGGACAGGGCAGGCACCCCAGCGTGGAGTGGGGGTGGGGAGGCTCACTTCCACCAGGTCCCAGAAGAACACCTTCCCGTCCTCAGAGCAGCTGACCACATGCGTGTCGCGCTCGCTCAGGCAGCAGTCCAGCTTATACTCCTTGTTCTTATGGCCCGTGTACCTGGGGGTGAGTGGAGTCAGAGTGGGGGCTAGGGGAGGGTTTTACTGGGGGTGGGGGAGGGGCCCCACGACTCTGAGGACTCACTCGCCCAGCAGCTCCCCTGTGTCCTTGTCCAGAAGCCGCAAGGTGGAGTCTAGGCTGGACACCAGGGCGCACTGGCCATCCCGGCTGAAGCAGATGCAGGTGATGGGGCCTGGGGGGAGGGGAGGGCAGGCATGTCAGGCTGGGGTCCCCTGGGCTGTCCCCACCTTCCCTGCCCGCCCCCCAGCACCAGCCACACTCACTGCCCACGTAGTCTGAGAAGAGCTGCCCCATCCTCAGGTCATAGCGCCTCACCCGGCCGTCTACGGAACTGCAAGACAGGGTGGCTGCAGCTGAAGCACCGCAGGGGCCGGTAGGTCCAGGGCTTCAGCTCTGGTGTCCCTGTAGCCTCTTCACCTGGCCAGGGCCCCGAGGGCAAGGCTGGAACCTATCCTTCCCAGTACCCTTCACTGTCACATCATGCTTAGGATCGGCCACGGAAAACATACACTGAAGTGAATTCAAGAGTGAAATTCTGGGACTTCCCAGATGATCCAGTGGCTAAGACTCTGAGCTCCAATGCAGGAGGCCTGGGTTCAATCTCTGGTCAGAGAACTAGATCCAACATGCTGCAACTAAGACCCAATGCAGCCAAATAAGTAAATTAAAAATAAATATTAAAAAAAAAAGTGGAATTCTAAGACAATGGCTTTAAGACTCTGACCTAAGGGCCAATCAAGTCCCATTCCATCTGTTTCTGCTTTCTACTGAGCTCCTTCTCTGGGTCAGACCCTGTGCGGAGACTTGGCACACAGCTGCTACCAAGCCAGGAGCACCTGCTGCCAACGTGGAACCTCCTTGACTGAGGGGCATCAGCTCCCTGAGGAGGTGACACTGGAATTGAGATTTGAGGCTGAGAAAGGAGCCAACCATGTTCAGTTCAAGGTGGGGATATGTGGGAAATGGGTGGGCTGACAGGCCAAGCAGTCCAAACAGCCCCAGTGGTGGGATCAGCACTCCCTCAGGTTGTGGCAACAATTGGGCAGTCCTGCATGGGAATTTTTTTTTAATTGTCTTATGCAGCTAGATTGTCAAATCTATGTAGGCAGGGGTTTTCCTTGTTTTTCTATCTTGTTCACTGCTACACGCTCACTGACTAGAAATGGGACCTGTAGGAGGTGCTCAGACACACTCTAAGTAGTATAGGAACAGTCCAGGTGGAGAAAGAGCAATTGCATGCCGGTCCCAGAATGGAAGCATGTGTGGCACATTTAACAGAAATTAGCTGCAATACTTTGGCCACCTGATGCAAAGAGCCGACTCATTGGAAAAGACCCTGATGCTGGGAAAGACTGAGGGCAAGAGAAGGGTACGACAGAGAATGAGAGGGTTAGATGGCATCACTGACTCAGTGGACACGAGTTTGAGCAAACTCCGGAAGACAGTGAAGGACAGGGAAGCCTGGAGTGCTACAGTGCATGGGGTCGAAAAGAGTTGGACAAGACTTAGCGTCTGAACAACCACCACATAAAAGCGGAGAGCACAACAGAGACCAGACCATGTAGGGCCTTATGAGCACAATGAGGAGAGTAGATTTTTTTAATCCAAGCACAGAGACAGCTGTGAACCTCAGTGGCACCTGGCGAGCGACAAGGTCCTGGTCTGACTCACCCTGAGAGGACCTCATGGTCTGACACCTTCACGCTGGATATACCATCTCTGGCTTCGTCCAGTGTCTGTATTGGCTCAGGTTTCCGAGAGCGACAGTCCCAGCAGCGGATGGTGGAATCGATAGAGCCTGTAAGGCCAGCATGAAGGTGGATCAGGTTTAGGGGGCAGAGGCAGTCTCCTGGGCCCACCCGCCAAGGCCCTGGACTCACCAGACAGGATAACTGTGGCCTCTTCATTAAACTGTACTGTGTTCACCTTCTGCTAAACAGGAACTGCGTTTAGAGGATGAGGACAAAAGCAGGGTTCCCAATGCAAGTTAAAGCAAGGGAAAAAGTTAAGGTAGAGGAGATCAAAGAGTTGGGGGGACTGCAAGGATGGGGCTTGATGAAGTGGGGGCCATGGGGAAGGATCCTTGCGCTGTAACTGCGCGGGGAGGCGGCTCCCTGTAACCACCCACATGCAAATTCAGATCTGCTTCAATGAGTCCCCTTCTTGCTTGCACTCACCCCCGCGTGGCCCCGAAATTTCCGCACGACTTGCCCCGACGCCACATCCCACAGCACCACCGCCTTGTCCCCACCTCCAGAGCAAAGACTGCTGTTATCAAAGGAGCTAGAAGGCAGAGCACAGAAAATTTAGCATCTATTTCTGTTCCTGGCCTCAGCGCCCCGATCCCGCCTTGGCCCCCGGCTCACCCAGCCGCATCCAGCACCTCGTAGCCGTGGCCGCTGTACGTCCGCAGTAACGTCCCCCGCAGCGGGTTCCACAGCTTCAGGGTCTTGTCGCTGCCGCATGTCAAACAGTAATTGCCATCCACTGGGGAACACCAGGCAGGGGTTACTGGGCCGCCGACCTTAGGAGGCGGGAGGAGGGCTCGGAAAGAAGATCAGGGCGCTCACCATTAAATCGCACAGCTCGAACCGCCCCCTGCCCGCAGTCCAACGTCTTCAACCGTTTCTGCGGCAGCTCGGGGCCCCGCGGTTTTGGCTCAGGGAAAGCCATCCCTCGGCTTTCCCTTCCTCGCTACCTTACACGCGCCGGCACGGAAGCATTCCGTGCCCTGGGAGGGTGTAACCTTATTATTGTCCTCCATAGTCTACTTCCTACTTCTCACTTCCGGGTTCTACATTTAGGCTTTTTGGAGATAGTGTTGGAAACACTGAAACTTGTCTCCAGCTTCCCAGTTTGTTTCTCCATTTCTGGTCTTCTAGGAGCATTTTTGGCTCCTCCGAATTCTCTATCCCCTGGCTGGGGTGGGGGTGGGGGAGTAGTTCCGGTAACCGTCGATAGGAACGGAGGCGCCAGGGCTGAGAGTGTTACTCTACAAACTACCCTGTGTTTCCAAGCTGGAAGCTGCCGGAAGCTGCGATTCCCGCAGCGGAAGAGGCGCGACTTCTGACTCGCTATGTCCGCGAACAGTATGTCGGACCCACGGAGGCCCAACAAAGTGCTGAGGTGAGGCTCCTAGTTGTCATGGTGTTAAAAAAAGAAAAAAATTCAGCTGTAAATTTTAACGATATAATTGGCTTTACCAAATGAATCATAAATTGGACTACATCCCATCTAGCAAGTAGAGGGGAGCGCTAAAGAGTTACAGAAAGGTTATTTAAAGGCAGGACAAGGAAGTCATAAACAGAAAAAAGGACGATTTCAGATTAGATTAGTTTCCTTTTGGGGAGAAAAGGGTCTTGCTAGATGGGGGTTACCTCATTTTCCTTTTGAAGGATGGAGAGGGGCGAGAATCCATGTGACAGACTGCCTCATTGGTGCTGACCAGAAAATTCCTGACTGACCGATTAAGAGCATTTCTGGAGGAAGTTGAAGCTTCTATTAGGTTAGATATTAAGCCCCGATTTGGTGGCTTGGCCAAGTACAAATTTTTGGACCTGTGGTATTCTTTTTAACAATCTTCTCTCTCTTCCCTCCTCCCCTCTCCCAATCAGACTGTCTGAGAGATGTGATCAAAACTTAAAGCATGAGCGCCACTCTCAGCTGCTACTCTGAGGTTCTCTCAGTTTTTGTTGTTCTTTTGCATGCTATCCATAGTTAACCCCTGTGATAGTCACAGGTCCTTGCTGGCTTCAGGTTCACAGTCTCTGAGTTGGTTATTCTCTTGTTACTTTTTTGATGTTCTAGTCATGGGGAGATCTTTTGCTTGATGATTAGTGACTGTGATTAAGCATTTAAAGCTTTTGAGAGAATACAGTGCATTCAGTTCAGTTGCTCAGTCATATCCAACTCTTTGTGACCTTATGGATTGCAGCACACCAGGCTTCCCTGTCCATCACCAACTCCCAGAGCTTGCTCAAACTCATGTCCATCCAGTCGGTGATGTCATCCAACTATCTCAACCCCTGTCATCCCCTTCTCCTCCTGCCTTCAGTCTTTCCCAACATCAGGGTCTTTCCAGTGAGTCAGTTCTTCGCATCAGGTGGCCAAAGTATTGGAGTTTCAGCTTTAGCATCAGTCCTTCCAATCAATATTCAGGACTGATTTCCTTTAGGATGGACTGGTTGGATCTCCTTGCAGTCCAAGGGGCCCTCAAGAGTCTTCTCCAACACCAGAGTTCAAAAGCATCAGTTCTTTGGTCCTCAGCTTTCTTTATAGTCCAACTCTCACATCCATACATGACTACTGGAAAAATCATAGCTTTGACTAGAAGTAAACCATTACTTTGCCGGCAAAGTAATGTCTTTGCTTTTTAATATGCTGCCTAATGCACTGCATTAAGGAGATTATTATGATTATAATATGCAGGATAATTAGCAATATTTGGAGTGCACTTTGGAGCCATGCTCTCCAGGATTGAAACCAGGCAAAATCAAATACATGAAAGAGAGTTCCCACTGGGACTTTCCTGGTGGTGTGCTGGTTAGGACTTGGTGCTTCCAGTGCAGTGAGCAAGGGTTTAATCCCTGGTTTAGAAAAAAAAGAAAATTTGCCTTGAAGGAGTCACCTTCTTACGCAAGCTGGCTTGCTCAGTGATCTTTTGTAACTGAGTTTCAGCTTCCCCAGAAGGGGTAATCCAGTGTAGCAGGTCGTATTGACCACAGCATGTACACGCCTTGCTCAGCTAAAAGATAAACAAGGACTGTGTGTTAGTCACTCAGTTGTGTCTGACTCGTGACCCCATGGTCTATGCATGGAATTCTCAAGGCAAGAATACTGGAATGGGTTGCCATTCTCTTCTACAGGGGATCTTCCCGACCCAGGAATTGAACTGGGTCTCCTGTGTTGCAGGCAGATTCATTACTGTCTGAGCTACAAGGTAAGCCCCTCATCAAGGGCTGTTCTGTTACAAAAGAACAACTTTGGCCAGAGAATCTAAGGATCTTTCTTGGGCTGATGGCCTTGCCAAAGGACACGAATCCTGAGTCACGAAATCCTCATCATTCTTTTTAAGTTCATCATGTAAATCCAGGGGACTTGACCAATGAGGTGTGTTAGTTCCCTTGTGGAGAGTTAGGAGCCCAGTTGGAGAACCTAAGAGGCATTGCCCTCTGTGCACTGGCTATCTAGGCATTCAGAGGCTGAAGGAGAATGATAACCATTATGAACAAAGACAGACTCTATGGGGGCATAGACCATTTCCATTAGGGGGGTACTGTTAATGGATTCATTCACAGGGATTACTGCATTTACCCATTCAAGCCAGATGTCAGGTTTTCAGCACATTTGGGAATAGCTGAAATTCCCAGCCTGAAATAAAGTGTTGCTCCAAACACTTTGCAAAGATAGGTGCAGTTGGTGAGATCTCTTAGTGAGTAGGGGCAGATCTGATCTAGATTATCATGAGAATGTGGGGGTGCAAGTGCAGTGAGGTTTACCAGTTAATTGTGTCTAACTGAGTCTGTATGGTTATGACGGGAGAAAGGAAAAAACAAGGTATAGGTTGTTCTGGCTGTGAAAGTTGAATTGCATAAGAAACTTTTAGCGGGTTTGATTGTCGTTTCCTGTGACATTGAGAATAGAAGAAAAACTGGTCACAAGGAGGACCAGGAGGTCTCTAGCATCATGGATAGATTGGAATTTTTTTGTTTTGTTTTTAGCTGTGCAGTGTGGCATTCGAGATCCTGGTTCCCCGGCCAGGGATTGAACCCACTGCTCCCTGCAGTGGTAGCACAGAGTCTTAACCACTGGGCTGCCAGGGAAGTTTCAGATGGGAATTTTTAAAATTTTATTTATTTATTTATGATTGTGCTGGATCTTTGTTGCTCTGTGGGCTCTTCTTTCGTTGCTGCAAGTGTGGGGCTTCTCTTGGTTGCAGTGCAAGGGCTTTTCATTGCAGTGACTTCTCCTGTTGTGGAGCACAGGCTCTAGGCATGCGGACTTCAGTAGTTGGGGTTCCTAGGCTCTAGAGCCCAGGCTCATTAATTGTGGTCCACAGGCTTAGCTGCTCTGCGGCATGTGGAGATCTTCCTGGATCAAGGATTGGACCTGTGTGCCCCGCATTGGCAGGCGGATTCTTTACCACTGAGCCACCGGGGAAGCCCCCAAATTGGAATATTTAATGACAAATCCAGCGGTCTGAAAGCTTACTTTCCTCAGCAGTGACCTGGGTGATAAGGGTGAGAACATCATCTTTCCAGGTGAAAACCAGAGTAAAAAAAGAAAAAGAGAAGAAGGGTTTCAGTCTAGTTAACGTATGGTCTTGATCCGGTGTCTGGCACAGAAGCAGCCACCTTGACGCCAGCTACTTCTCTTCCTCGTCAGTTTGATTCAGAGGTCTCCAGCGTCTGTTTAGGACTAGATGTCTGATGGCGCTTTCCTTAGCTGTGAGATGTGTACCCAGGGCTCCGTGCCTTCTCATTTTGCAGTCTTTGTCAGTGGTCAGGAGCACTTGGTAAGGTCCCTTCCCATGGGGCTTGGGGGCTGTCTTCCTCTGATGATGTTTTCAGAATACCCAGTCAGCAGGCTCCAGTCTGTGACCAACAGGATCCTTTGAGTTGGGATCTGGGAAGGCTTCTTTCTTAAACCTGTTAATGATAGCATAAGACATGAAAGACTTATAGTAGCTGGTCCTATTAATGTTAGATAGCAAGGGATCAGCAGAGAGTTGTATACCAGTGGACATTGGTCTATTGGTGGCTGTTCCATGTGGAGTGAGTGTATGTTTTCAGAGAGGGTACTGGGAACAGTTGTCATGGCCAGAGGCAATACCTTAGGCTGAGGGAGTTGAGTAGTTTAAGCAGTTTAGAGGTTTTCCAGGATCGCAGTAGTTCTCTCTACCTTGCCTGATGATAAGTAAAAAGGAGAGTGATAATTTCAAGGAGTCTGCAAGGTTTTCATTAAGGCTTTTAGGATTTGCCCACTGAAGTGGTTGCCTCAGTCCCTGAAGATTGTGGGAGGTAGACCCTGAATTGGAACCACATTTTCTAACAGTTTCCTTGCCGTTGTGAGAGCATTAGCCTTGTGGCAAGGGAAGACTTCAACCCATTAGGAAAGCATGTGTAGAGTAACAAGAACATATTAATAACCCATACTGGGTGGCAGTTGGATAAAGTCCAGCTGTAGGTGCTCAGAAGGTCCAGAGAGGGGAGGTCTGAAGCCTTTGGGAACACAGTTTTTCCAGGATTATAGACCTGACAGGTCAAACATTGGTGGTAAACTGCTTTTGTAATTTTGTCTCCCCACCCATGTCTATTCGTCATTTGAGTCATCTTAAAATGCACTATGATGAGTGAAGGAATGCAAAAACTGAAAAACGAGATTTGTCAAGGAGCTGGGAAGAACCACGTGGCCATCTTGGGTTTCCCATAGCCCTGAATGTTTATCTAATTTACAACTATTGTTTGCCCATCTTAATTTCTCTGTTCAGGAACAGACTGATGTTACAAGGACATCAAGATGGCCAGGGTCTGGCAAGGAGGGATCATGTTTTGCTGAGGCAGAAGGTCTTCATCCATCTGTGCCATAATACTTATTTATTTTTACTGCTCTGTAAGCCAGAACTTAGTTCCCCAACCAGGGATTGAACCCAGGTCACCACAGAGAAATTGCTGAGTCTTAACCACTGGGCTGCCAGGGAATTCTCAGTGCCATGATATTTATAGATTCTGTTGCTGCTGTCTTCGCATGAAGCTCAACTAGGGCATTTCCTGAACTCTGGTTCAGTCTTTTCAGTGTGAGTCTCAACTTTAATGACAGGTAATTTCTTAACTTCAGAAAGTAAGATAATAGTTTACTTGTTGCCTTAAAAAAAATTTTTTTTTTTAATTTATGTTTTTGGCTGCCTGGGATCCTGTGCGCAGGCTTCCTCTAGTTGCGGTGAGCAGAGGCTGCTCTCCAGTTGCTATGCTCAGGTTATCATTGTGGCAGCTTCTCTTATTGCGGAACACAGGCTCTAGGGTGTGGGCTTAGTTGCCCCACAGCATGTGGGGTCTTCCAGGACCAGGGATCCAACCCATGTTCCCTGCATTGGCAGGACCATGAGGGAAGTCCCTGTTGCCCATTTT